TCCTCACCTCCTCCATAACCGTCTGGTACGCTGCTGCCACTGCCAAGGACAAGCGCAGACTGCAGCGTATCATCCACACTGCTGAGAAGGTAATTGCCTGCAATCTACCAACCCTCGAGGACCTGCACACGACAAGGACCATGAGGCGAGCGAGGAAGATTGTGGCCGATTCCTCCCACCCTGGACACCCTCTGTTTCAGCTACTCCCCTCCGGCAGAAGGCTTCGGTCCATCAGGACCAAAACCTCACGCCATAAAAACAGTTTCTTCCCATCTGCTGCTGGCCTGTTAAACAAGGCCAAGGGCTAACACTGATATTAACATTTTATCTACATAATGACACCTTGCCGATATTAACTATGTTAACCTATTTATTTTTTGTATTTTTAAATTATATCTTAAAGCTATTTTATATTCGATATTTATTAAATTTTATATACTTCAGCCCCTTGGTGTTAGTTAGACTTTTAACCCTTATTATTATAGTAAGACTTGTTTAAAACTTATTTAAGATTTTAGATTCCTATATGTTGAATGTATGCACCATCCTGCCAAAGTAAATTCCGTCTCGGTGTGAACTTTCATGGCGAATAAAACCCTTTCTGATTCTGATTCTGATCAACTCAACTCGCCGTGTTTGGAGGAGGAGGAATGCTGCCTATGACCCCAAGAACACCATCCCCACCGTCAAACATGGAGGTGGAAACATTATGCTTTGGAGGTGTTTTTCTGCTAAGGGGACAGGACAACTTCACCGCATCAAAGGGACGATGGACGGGACCATGTACCGTCAAATCTTGGGTGAGAACCTCCTTCCCTCAGCCAGGGCATTGAAAATGGGTCGTGGATGGGTATTCCAGCATGACAATGACCCAAAACACACGGCCAAGGCAACAAAGGAGTGGCTCAAGAAGAAGCACATTAAGGTCCTGGAGTGGCCTAGCCAGTCTCCAGACCTTAATCCCATAGAGGGAGCTGAAGGTTCGAGTTGCCAAACGTCAGCCTCGAAACCTTAATGACTTGGAGAAGATCTGCAAAGAGGAGTGGGACAAAATCCCTCCTGAGATGTGTGCAAACCTGGTGGCCAACTACAAGAAACGTCTGACCTCTTTGATTGCCAACAAGGGTTTTGCCACCAAGTACTCAGTCATTTTTTGCAGAGGGGTCAAATACTTATTTCCTCATTTTTGACATGCGTTTTTCTGGATTTTGTTGTTGTTATTCTGTCTCTAACTGTTCAAATAAACCTACCATTAAAATTATAGACTGATCATTTCTTTGTCAGTGGGCAAACGTACAAAAAGCAGCAGGGGATCAAATACTTTTTTGCCCTCACTGTATATGGGCAGTTCAATGTAAATCTTAAGGCCGAGTGATCTGAACTGTGACTGTACACGCACCTGAACTGTGACCGTACGCGTACCTGAACTGTGACTGGGCATGCATCTGAACTGTGACTGGGCACGCGCCTGAACTGTGACTGGGCACATATCTGAACTGTGACTGGGCACGCGCCTGAACTGTGACTGTACACATACCTGAACTGTGACTGGGCACGCGCCTGAGTTGTTGTTGTTGGTTGGGCGGAATCGAAACTCAAAACAGAGCCCTGGAGGGGCTCTCCACTGCTTCCTCTTTCTCGCCTCAACCCCTGAGACCGAAACCCGAGACTCGCGGGGCGGGGCTTGCACGTGGTGGAGCAGAAACTCCGCACCACCACGGCACTTTTAAACCCTCGCTGATACCACCAACCACCACCAATCACCACCACCACCACCACCAATCACCACCCACCACTACCAATCACCACCACCACCAATCACCACCACCACCAATCACCACCCACCACTACCAATCACCACCACTACCAATCACCACCACCACTAATCACCACCAATCACCGCCACCACCCTGGTCGCACCCACCTTCACTCGCCTGCCATCACCACTGCGACCCTGCCCGGTGACGACACCTGAGGCTGCCTGGAAAGGGACGCGCGGAGCGTGGGCGGCACGGCCCCGGTGGATATTTTGAGCGTCCTGGGGGATTCACGTGGAAATTCTGCAGCTCACGTGACTCCTCGCACCGACCGGGGACTCCTCGCCCAGATCCGGGCAGCTCTGCTCTTGCGTCAACAACAGAATCGATCACAGGCAACAAATCCCCCCGTCTGTGAATAGGATAGGAGTCTAGTAGCTCATCGGGAGCCTCCAGTGTAAACAATATTCTGATTCTGAGCCTTCAGCAGACTGCTCACGAGCAACGCCTCCGAATGCCGGCACGGCACGCGATGGGGGTGGGTGACCACAACTTCATTTGTCCCCCACCCCCCCCATCATGATGTTTTACACATCGCACCAGGTACTCACTTAAGGCTGAGTCAACCTAGGGGAGACCCAGGGCCCGGTTTCAAATATTTGCGAGCGGGAGTCGAAGTCGGTTTGCCGGGTTTGTCGCGTAGTGGGCTAACCACTGCACCACCGCTCCCCGCCAAGACGCATACAGGGTGGTATTTAATAAATACCATGAACTTGAGTTATTCTTCTCTATTTTTTATGAATATTATTTTCATCATTAGACCTCCTTTGCCAGTACCAAAATGTAATAATAGGGTTTTTCCCCTTTTTTCTGGCAACAAAACTGAAACCTTTTACAAGGATTCATGTCTGCATTAACCACAATACCTGCAGTCAAAATGCAAACAAAAAACATACTATGATAATATATGCATTGTCCTTGAAACTGATTGGTCCACACCAAGGGACGGCTTTCTTTTGAGCCTCGACCCAAATGGTGCTCGACCAGATGACGCCAAAAGGCGTACAGCTCAAAGACAATGCACTATCAAAGTAATTAGGGCTCGGGGTGAGCATCTACATCATTAGACCTCCTTTGCCAGTACCAAAATATAAGGATAAAGCATATATTATCATAGTATGTTTTTTGTTTGCATTTTGACTGCAGGTATTGTGGCTTATGCAGACATGAATCCTTGTAAAAAGGTTTCAGTTTTGTTGCCAGAGAAAAGGGGACAAATCCTATTATTATAATATGATTTTCATTCAGTAAGCGTGAAACTCAATAACTAAGTCAGTACAAGACAAAAAACCACCATTCGCTCTGTGAATACCTTGTCTGTGTGGCATTCCACCCCACTCACTCCAATCTCACTCTCACTCACACTCCACTCACTCTCACCTCACTCACACTCCACTCATTCACACCTACTCACACTCCACTCACACTCCACTATCACCCCACTCACACTCCACTCACTCTCACCCCACTCACACTCCACTCACTCCCACTCATTCTCACCCCACTCACACTCCACTCACACTCCACTATCACCCCACTCACACTCCACTCACTCTCACCCCACTCACACTCCACTCACTCCCACTCATTCTCACCCCACTCACACTCCACTCACATTCCACTATCACCCCACTCACACTCCACTCATTCTCTCTCCACGCACACTCCACTCACACCCCACTCACTCCCACTCCACTCTCACTCCACTCACTCACACTCCACTCTCACCCCACTCACTCCACTCTCACTCCACTCAATCCCACTCCACTCATTCTCACCCCACTCGCACTCCACTGACTCTCATCCCACTCCACTCGTACATTTCTGTCTGTCTCTCATCACCCCTCCTCATTGCTCTCTGCGCCCTTAGCTGACCTCATGCAACTCCCCCACCCGCCCGTCTGCATCACCGCATCACTGACTGTAATGCTGTCATTGGTACGTCTCCGTGTGTTGATGGCAGGTAAAGATACCCTGCAGGTTTTCGCTGGCCTCGTGTGTTTGGCCGTGAAGGAGGAGGAGCAAGATCTTTCGAAGACGGCTTAAAAGCTTCCCCGCAGGCGAATGAGAGTCACCACCATCACCGCTACTACCATCATCATCACCACCAGCACGATCACCACCAAGAGCTCGGCTCGTTTTAACTGGTCGCAATTCCTCACTGAACAACTCGCCTCGCCACAGATCCTCCAAGAACCACAGGTGAGCGACGTTCATAGATAACACATTCCCCATGCCCAAAAAAACTACACTAGTTTTTTTATGAGACCAGGTAAAGCCCACTGAGTTGTGGTGCTCTTTTTCAGAAGCGACCTGGACACAAATGATAGCTCAACGAACTGGCTCATCATCACGGGGACGTTTCGAGCAGCCAAATACTCTGCAGCTGCTCCAAACCAGGGGCTCAGTTACCGCACCCTCGGGTGTCGCGTGCGGTTCTTTAAGGGACTGCTTGGCCGCTCTTGAAATATTGAGGTTTATTTTTTAAATGACCAAATTCGAGAAAAAAAAGTTGTCTCTTCCTGTGATTTTTATTGTGAAGGGGGGAAAGCCGGAGAGAAATTCACGCGACCACGGGGAGAGACGCAAACTCCAAATATACAGCAGCAGCAGGCATCGTCAGGGTCGGGATCGAACCCACGGGCTCCTGCATGCCGGGCGAGGTAGTCAACATCTCCTAGGCACCGCGGCGCCCTGCCCGTGGGTGGAAATTCCCCGTGGCGAACGGCGTGGGGTTGAGGAGTGTCGCGGGGGGGTTGAGGAGTGTCGCGGGGTGTAGCACGGAGTCCGCCGGGTGGCGCCGCAGAGAGAGGAGATGCGCGCTCTCGTGATTCACCAAGAGCTTTAATGTAGCGAGTAAACTGATCGCTTTCATCATATGCATAGCTGATATCCGTCTCTCGCATGCGTATCACGTGTGACAGTGCACACGCATCACGTGTGCACGTGTGACAGTGCACGCGCATCACGTGTGCACGTGTGACAGTGCACGCGCATCACGTGTGCACGTGTGACAGTGCACGCGCATCACGTGTGCACGTGTGACAGTGCACGCGCATCACGTGTGCACGTGTGACAGTGCACGCGCATCACGTGTGCACGTGTGACAGTGCACGCGCCTGCGATGTGCGCGGAGTCGCCCACGTGTCACGTTGACTTCTGAGAAGCTGCGTGGGCGGTGACGTCATGGCTCGCGACGTACGCGTTTCCGGGTGGAGGTTTCTGCTCAGGCGTGGAGAGTGATCCACCACCACGCGCGTGATCCACCACCTCGCGCGTTGTGATCCACCACCACGCGCGTTGTGATCCACCACCTCGCGCGTTGTGATCCACCACCACGCGCGTTGTGATCCACCACCACGCGCGTTGTGATCCACCACCACGCGCGTTGTGATCCACCACCACGCGCGTTGTGATCCACCACCACGCGTGATTTACTCCGTATCAGCTGATCCACCCAGGTGATCCACCCCGTAGCGTGACATCGTATCTGCAGTTTGGGGGGCTGTGACGGTCGAGGTGGTGTAGCTGGAGCTGTGGGCGCCAGGTTCGACTCTAGACCTGGGTGCCTTCACGTCGGATAGTGTGAGACACGGGACACACACAGACTGCTGTTAGCGAGCGCCTATTAAGGCTGTTAGCGGCTGTCTCCCCAGTGTCGATGGATACAAACTCACACACCGAATTTGGTAGGGTTCTTAATAAGGTTGAGTCTACCTTGGTTAGACTCAGGACCGGATTGGACATCACCACTGACGGCAGCCGTGGCCTGAAACCGCTCCGTGGCCGCAGGGTTCACGTCAAGGGCAGTGCGCCGACTCCTGCACCTCCGATGGTTGCAACTCAGGACCGTGAGATGTGGCGGCGGCTTGGGGAGGCCCTCATCCGACAGTGGATTGAGCATGGCTCATGATGATTGATATCGTGGGTGAAGTGGGTCATGCCTGTGATGTCAGGAGTCACGTGATGAGTGATGTAGCGGCTGAAGAAGGTGACGTCAGAGGTTATGTTTCATGCCCTGGGTTGATGGTCGTCTCAAATAATGCGTGCAGCCACCGACCTCCTGGGTGTTTGGTGATAACTGGGACGGTTGATCTCCTGCGTGATTGCTAACTTCACACTTGATATCTCGGGGTCACGGTTTATGTCCTGTGCGATGTACAACACCACGTGTGATATTCTGGGTGACGTTGCATCTCCTGTATGATGGTTGACATCGTCTGGGTGATGGTTGATATCGTCCGTGATCATCTCCTGGGTGATGGCCGACCATCGCGCGCGACATCTCGTGGCGACGGTCCACCTCCTCGTCCGTGCACGGTCACCGCCCTCGGTAATTGTCGGTGTCCCGCATCCCCGCATTCTAGGCCATGCCCGGCAAGTGCCACACGCTCCTGCGGGACTGGCTCGGCAACCTGGCCAACGCGGGGCTCTACGGCGTGGCGTGGGAGGACGACTCCCGTTCCGCCGTGCGTATCCCCTGGGACAGCACCAAGAAGCGTCTCTCTCGGGACACGGACTCCATCTTCCGGGTGAGCTGCCCCCACTCCCTCCCCATCCACCCCCGGCTGCTGCTTCTGCCCACGGCGAGCCCCCCCCCCCCCGCTCGGGGAGTCGACTCGGCACCAGGCGCCACGGGGACTCGGGCGCCTGGCCTGAAAGCGGGGCAGGGATAGACATCTCACCAACGGCCACGTTCCGGGTGATTTGCCAGCGAGTTCCACACGTGGCATTTGACCATATTTCACCACATTGGTCAGTGCTGGTTGGTAGAACGGGCTTTTCTACACTGCCCTCTGCTGACAATGACTGCGGCATAGCGACCTGTTGGGTGGTGTGTGCGGGTGACGGCGTGTAAGAACATGAGAGTGCGTGCTGTGTGGCACCGAGATTTATTTGTGCCGGCGAGCGAGCCGCTGACGTCGTGCTCGCGCTCCTTCCGCTGGTTGCAGGCCTACGCGACGATGAAGGGACGCGTGGACTCGTCGAAGCCGTCCGACTGGCGCCAGTCGCTGCGCTGCGCACTCGAGAGGATGCTGGAATGCGAGACGGACGGCGCTAAGCTCAGCCCGCCCGAGCTGTTCCGCGTCTACCGCCTGTTTCCCCGCACGCCGGGCCGGCCCGCACACCCTAGCTGCTCGCTCAACCGTGAGTCGGGGCTGGCCTCTCGTTCACCGGCGCTGAATACGCTACCGAACACCACCCCCCCAACCCCGACCTCTCCCACTCTCCCCTGTGTCGTCGAAGATAAGATTTTTGGGTTTGGCCACCGAATGGTCTGGACAGATTTTGTTGTCCACCCTCCAGCACCTTGTGCTGAAGGGTCTAAAGTCCACAATTGATGTCTCTCCGGCTCGCCAGCAAGTTGAAAAACAATTCTCACGGCCTACAGATCAAGCTAATCAGTCGTCACACACACACGTCATCCTGAACTGCGGAACGCATAGTTGCGACTGATAGATTGTGTCCTTCCAGCATGCCTTGCATGCTGCCTGTAGTATAACGCACACAGCAGTCCGCTGGAGTCGACTACCAAGAGTCGACTTGTTGCCATCTTATTTTAGACAGCGGCAGCACAAAAGAGACAACTGCATATCGGTTTCATCTTTGTTTGGGATCTTGGGGGTAGTTTAGCCATCATTGCCTTGTGCCTAGGGTGGGGGGGCTGCGTCTGGACAGGCCCTCTTCCTGGTCACCGAGAACACGGATGGAATTGCTACCACCACCTCTCTTTAACGCTTCCTCCGTTTTTTGTCTCGCTGTTGCAGAGAGAACAGCAGAGGTCTCTCAAGTGCCGGAGTTCCGGGCAAGTGCGATGGTGAGTGAGATGGCGAGGGAGGGCGGTGGTGGGCAGGGTAGCGTGAAAGATTGGTCCTCTAGCCCAGTGGTCGTTAACAACCTCGCTACGACCTCGTTATAGAGGCGATGGCAGCTGCAGAAAGGGACCGAACAAGATTTGGGAGTTGCAGGGATTGTTTGCTCCAAAATGCCGCCGCAGTATTCATAACGCGGTTTCGTTTCATGAGCCCGCACTGCCAACGATTGTGCTCAAGCTCTGCAGTCCTCCATATATTAAGTTGTGTTGAGCCAAATAATGACTTCATACGCGTTTTTCTGTGGGATTCTTGGTAAGTGGTGCAGTTGACAATGCAACACTTCCTCATGATGGGGGCCTACGACAATGTTTGAAAGTAATCGCTTTAATTGTCGACGCGTTTGCGGTCATGTGACTCGCTGACCTTCCATGAGTGAGGAGTGGTTAATAAGTAAACGAGGACGCGTGGATATTGTAGTTCCTGGTGAACCGTGGTTGATACGCAAAAGGGATAATGGAGCCAACCTCTTCTCCTCACACAGTCACATCTCCAAAACTCGTTTGGCGAGATGAATATCGAGCCTCACGGTGCGACTCTGCTGGCGCGCGGCATGGGAGAGGACCCCGTGCTGTGCCCGCCCCTGGAGACGACGGGGGTCTTCTGTGGCCCCGAGGTCTGCCTGGCGCCGGGTACCCAGGGAGAGGTGGCCCATCATCTGGACCCCTGCATCGCCCTTCCTCACCACCACCACCACCACCTCCCGGCACCGGGCGAGTTCTACCAAGGCGGGGCCGTCCAGCCCTTCGTGCACGACTCCAACGTGTCCATGGAGAGCGTGGGATCCTTCCAGGGGGCGGCAGTAGCACCAGCGGTGATGGAGGAGTTAAGTAAGTAGCTGCATGCACATCTGCGTGTACCGTTCGCGCATGCCTCTGCCCGCACATAGGCGCAGACGCACGTACCGTGCGACGTGTACACGTGCACGGTACATGCAGGCGCACGCACGGGACGCGGGCGCACGGGACGCGGGCGCACGGTACGCACGCGCACGGTGCGCACGGTACACGCACGCGCACGGTGCGCACGGTACACGCACGCGCACGGGACACGCCTCTGTGCGCGTATGCTCGTACCTGGCCTCATGACTGTGCACGCCAAATAACACATGCTCGGACCCAAACACAAATCCGCGCGTTACGAGGGAAAATATTGCAATTCAGCGGTGCGCATATGCCTGGTGAACACTCGTCATCTGCTGTAGCGGTCCAATTAAAGAATTTCCACCGCCGTGCCCGGTTGTAAATCTGCATTTCTCCCACTGGGTGGGGGGGTTCCATTTTGTCCGCCAGTGCACCGGCTCAAGGTGACCATCAGCTACTTTGGCCACGTCGTGCTGATGACGGAGGTGGCCGCCGCCGCCGGGGTGCCGGTGGGCTGCCTCGTCTGCAACGAGGAGTGGGAGCCCAGCGAGGTGGCCAGGTACAGCCTGCCGGGGATGCCGGAGCCTCACGTGCTGCGCCTGCCGGCGCCACCCCCGCAGCTGGAGGAGGTCAAAAGGGAGGAAGTTGCGGAGAGACTCTCCATCATGGGCAATGGGCTGCTGCTGGAGGTGAGCGCTTGGGCAAGTGGGACGCCGGCCACGAGTCCAAACCCAAAGCCTCGCTGCACTGGGCCTAACAATACCAGCCAATTACACGGACCCCACAACTCGGCCAGACACTAACCCTAACCACACTAGCCAGTCACACTAACACTAACCACACTATACCTGGCCATAATTTAGCCAGCCATACGCTTACACCAACTAAACACTATCACAATCCCCTAACCATAATAACTAGTCAACCAGCCCCTAGCACAAGACATACCTAACACACACCCCCAGCTGTGTTGGTTTGCGCAGCCTGTATTTCACTTGTCATTTTGCTTTACACTTTTGGTGCCGCCTGGGCACGTGATGGTTAACGCTAATTGTAGACCGGGGCTAACGGGAGGGAGCGCAGGCGCCTACCCTCCGACCCTCGTGACCGTGCGTTCTGCCCGACGCAGGCCACGCCGAAGGGGGTGGAGGCCACGCGCCTCTGCCGCTGCCGCGTCTTCTACTCGGGGCCCGGGCAGCACGCGAGCGAGAGGGCCAACGCGCTGACGCGCGCCGACAAAAGGACGCGCGCTCGCACGCTGCTCTACGACTTTGCGGACTTCCTGCAGAGTACGTGAGCGCCGCGGCCGCCACGACGCGCTCGCCATCAATGGACTTTTGTCGTTCTACTGTCGTCCCTTTGGATGTCCCTGTCCGCCGAGCTCTCCCCGCTCGGGACGCCCATTGAGTGGAGGAGGAGGCTCCATCCGGGGGGGTTGGGGCCGGTGATGGCGGAGATGCAGGAGAGTTGAACTGCAGGTGGAGAGCAGTTTGCCTCGGGGGACCTCAAAGGAGCAAAGGGGCATGCAGTTTTATGAATTCTGAATCGATTCTGACGAACGCGATTTGTCCGGTTCCGCCTGAATTCCGCGACGGATTAACGGGGCGCTGCAACGAGCAGGGGTTCGCGGTTTGAATGCAGTGGCCGCACTGGTTCTAACTGCGGGGGCGATAACCGTAATAATCTTCTTTGGTTCTTTCGGTAAAGTCACGTAGAATGAGAATAAAATAATAAACAGAGCTTCAAGACCTGTCGTCCCGACAGGTCTGTTCCTTTCACCTGAAGAAGGCCACTTGTGTTGTGGCCGAAACGTCGTGAGATTTTGTGTTATTTTATTTATTATTTTATTCTCATTCTACGTGACTTTACCGAAAGAACCAAAGAAGATGCATCCTTGCAGTCACGAAAGCTTTAAATCGAAATTTAACCGTAGTAATACCACGCACGCCGTCTGCATCAAGGTGGCCGTTAAAAGTTCCCAGGACGTAATTTGCAAGAGTAGGCCATTGTGTGCCAGACATCAGGATCTAAATTTGCAAAACTTCGAAAATGACACCACAAGCTACTTGATTGGGATCAGACAGCAATCGTCATCTCCTGCTGGCACACCGATGCCCACAGGTCACTCTCGCAAATGACGCTCACCCTGGTCTCTCGCGTTCTCAGCTTGTGACACAATTTAACTCTTCAGTGTCTTTCTACTCAAAACGAATGTTGGACAGCGCTCGTATCCAATTGGGAGGCTCCGAGCCGTTGGTGGCAATTGCAAATTTTTGTGGCAGGAATCCGTCTCGCAGGTCATTAAATACTTTAACGCCGTGACATTTAACACCACCGCCGCCTTCGTAAGAATTACCTGCGACCCATCACCGGGTACGCGCCCAATCTCATCACGAGGGTGCACGGTGCTCGGAGGGGCGACTGCTATGCGCAGGTCGGTATGGGGCTGCTGTGGAATTTGGAGGTGGACTGCAAACGTACGCCGTGAGAAGCAGAAATAAATGATCACGTGGGCGACTGTGCAGCGGAGTGCCCGGGTCACCATCAAACAGGTTGTGATGGCGTCGTCATCGCGAAGCCGCCTCGGCAGTGGTGCACATGCGCACACAACAGGACCCAAGTACATTCGCCAATGCGGTGGCCTTTGGAAGGAAAGCAAATCTATGTCAAAAGCAGCGTTGCAGGTATAATGGCCTTTCTTCAAAGCAAAGAGATGCTATGAATAAGTCATTGCCTGAAATGCCACCTACAAGCAATTTTATATATTTTTTCATTTTAGGGCCACGATATTATTGACGAATGAGGTTTGTGTTTTAATGGCCACGCTGGCGACCGTCGATTGACCGACTGATGTTCCATGCCGCGTGCGTCACAGAGATGAGCGCCTGGTATGACGGTAGCGACGACGCGCGCCGGCGGCCGCCCCCCGACTGCGATGTCGTGCTGTGCCTCGGCAGCAAGTGGCCCAACGGGAAGGCCGCGCACAACAAGGCCATCACCGTGCAGGTGAGCGCTCCCCAGCATGCCGTGATCTATCCACCGCTTCCCCAAGCCGGGCCCTTGTTCCCCGCGAGCTCGCGATGCCACGGCCCGTTCCTCGCGCCAGCGCACGGTCAGGGCGCGCCATCCTCTGCTTGCCACTCCCGTCGTTAGTCTCGACCGCCAGCCATCGTCCCGTCCAGCGACGACACGTTCCTTCCAAGACCGATGGCGTCTCTCACCTGCACGCATTCTCAAACCAGCACGGGTTACATTGTGGCACGCGCGATGCGCAAACTCGACGCGTGGACCCCGCCCCCTCCCGCGCCGCGTGCAGGTGACGCACGTCCACTCCGAGATGCTTCTGGCGACCGCCACCGGCAAGGAAGACCCGGAGCTCTCGGTTCCCAACTCCGCTGACAACTTCCTCTCCATGATGCGGCAGCTCCGCCGGTCCGACAGCGTCGAGTCACAGTAAAGCGGGTGGGTGGTGACAGGCCTCACCGGACGGGGCCTGGTGCTCCCAATACCTTGATGTAAATGTGGGAATCGGCGTTTGTTTTAACGGAAAAAAATGTCGCGTGAAGGATGATGTACATTAATAGCAAGGTCTGGTATGTTAATAGCAACACGTTGATTTTTAATGTTGACAAACACAAAAGTGCACATTCTCTCTTGTGAATTAAAACAAACAATGTTTATCGTGACGTTTGCGATGAAGTGAATTATTTTCCACGCACGTCACGGTCCGTTCAAATTTAATGCCACAAGTCCGAGAATACGTCCATCGAGGAGACGGAGCGATGCAATCGGCTCGTGCGTGGGTGGATTATTATATGCAAGATTGTGAGAGATGGTGACAGCCTGGGGGGGGGGGGCATTCATCCAGCAGTGGATCGATCACGGCCGATGACGACGCGGTGAGCGTTTACGACCCTCGCAGCAGACCCTGGGGGTGCGCTGGGAGCCCCAGCCGAGGGGGCTGCTGCTATCGTTACCCTGTTGGACGCCGGGCTCTCGCGCTACGGTTGGTTTTCCACTCGCAATCTGCCACGCCGAGCCAGAACCAAAGCGATACGCTCGGCCTCGGCAGACATTTCAATCTCTCTCGGGGCCGGGAGGGGGCAATGACCGCGTCCACGTCTCGGGTTCTGCAGGAGAGAAACAACCCGGCCGGCACCTCCTGCGCTGGGCCGGCTCGGCACGGCGCGGCTGTACCAGTGGAAAAAAAATTTTGAGAGCAGATCCATCGCCGATGACCGCCGGTCCATCTCTGACAGGAAAAACACATCATGGGACCTCCTTTGCCAGTAGAAAAATATGACAATAGGTGTTTCCCCTTTTTTCTGGCAACAAAACAGGTGTTAAGATGTTAACACACCAAACTGAAACCTCTGGTCGAACACCGTTCGAGACGAGGCTAAGAAGAAAGCTGTCTCTGGTGTAGACCAATCAGTTTTCAAAGTCAATGCATATATTCAGTGTTTTTTGTTTGCATTCTGACCACAAGCATTGTGGTTAATGCAGACATGATTCATTGTAAAAGGTTTCAGTTTGGTGTTTTAACATCTTAACATCTGTTTTGTTGCCAGAAAAAAGGGGAAAGCCCTATTATCAGGAAAAACACACGGACGTCACTGGGCGAGCCTTGTTTTGGTTCTTGTTAGCGACACAAACACAGTCTTGCAATTCAATTACACCCCCCCCCCCCCAACTAAAAACATCGCTGAAACCAGAAACAAGCTCCTGCTGCAGCCACCGACTACGGTAGAACCGTTCCGCGTCGCGCTCTGCCAGCGTCACACCACGAGCCGCCAACGATGCCGCAAAGGGCGCGCCGTGAGGACGCTTAACTAGCCTGCGCCTGCACGCGCCAGTCCGTGTGTGCGTGGGCTTGTCCGTGGGCATGAAGACGAGGCCGGGGGGGGGCGGGGGAACAACGGTCGACGAGGGATGAGCCACGGGAGATGAAGGATCCTTTCGTCATTCAGAGAAGTCTCTCTCGCCTGCAGCCCCACGGTCGAGGTACCGGGGTGGGCAAGTGTGTGGGCGGCCGGGCAAGCGAGTGGGTGGGCGGGCGAGCGCGGCGCTGGCTCTCGTTGGGATTCATTAGTTCCAGGTCCGTTGGGAACGCGAGACGAGGTGATTCCAAGAGAAGCCAAGTGATTTCTCCGCCGAGCGTGATGGCGGGGTTCCGTAACGGAGGACGGCCGGCACGTGCGCATGAGTAGTAGCCGCAAGCTTGACCGAATCGAGTCCGAGTCTGTACATGGGAAGACGAGGCCACGAGGGCCCCCCCCCCACCCCCTGCTTGGCTCACGTCGCGAACTTCAGGTAAAACCCTGAAAAAATAAAAAAAAATTACAACCCGTCTTGGTCGGGGGACACGGCCGCTCCACTTGGAACAAGGGCGCGCTTACCCCAGCTGCACGGCATGATAAATACACTCCCACCCAGCCCTGCAGCAAGATGGTGATAAAATAAATACAATGATGATAATAATATTAAGAATACAACTACAAAAAACCTTGTAACAATCGCACGGCTAAACACACACTTGGTCATGCGTTGGGCGCTAAATGTGACGAACGGCGCCGCTCTTCGCCAAAACTCCACGCTGCTCGTACGCTCTGATCGGGGCTAGCAGGAGGCTGCGGCGGATGCTTCCTGTGGCGGCCCTCGCCGTCGCCGCTGCCGCGTCCCGCGGCCCCCCCACCCCACTCCGCGGGGAAGCCCCCCCCCCTACATTCACGCCGTGCAGCTCCCGCAACGCTCGGCAGCATTCGCTTTGGCACTTGTTTTTTCCCAAAATAGTCGCGCGTCCAAAAACCAGGTCTCGACGGGACGAGCGCAGGGCGGCTCGCACTTCTCGAGACAATCGTCACCCGCAGGGCGTGACGACACGCACGAAGTCCCGCGGCTGCGAGATGGTTTCCCGCCGGGGTTCGTTGGGTCGTGTCGCTCGGCGTCCGACGGCCGCTAGGGGCCCGGTTCGGCAGGATCCAGCCTGGCGCGCTTGGATTTCGGTTCGCCGCATTCGACGTCGCTGTCCCCGTCGCCTCCACCGCCCGCGCCGCCGTCGCCCGCCGAGACGTCCTCGGCGGCCTCCGCCGTCTCCACCTCCACTTCGGCGTCCTCAACCACGTCGGCTCCGGCGCCGACGTCCGCATCCAGCGCGCCGCCCACGTCCGCGCTCGCGCCGCCCACGTCCGCGCTCGCGTCCACCGTGCCGCTCGTCCCGGCGTCTTCGCCCGTCCCGGCGCCCACGTCCCCGCACGCCTCTGCCGTGTCCACGGTCGCGAGCCCGTCCGGGCACACGCCGGCAGCGTCCGCCGCCTCCGCTGCTGCGGGGTCCGCGCCGGCGTCCTCGGCCGCGTCTGCGCCGCACGTGCCGTGCGTCCCGCTCAGCGCCGGGAACAGCTCCCCAAGCCGGTCCGTGACGTGAGCCTCCAGCGCGCGGTGCTGTGGGTAAGCGAGGACATCGTTATTAGCCACGAGCAATCCACTGCCGGATGAAGGCCTGTCTCCAAACTGTCACCATCTCGCACGGTCTCGCAATATAACAGTTTGTCTGGCGTCCACATAGAAGCGAATTTCATCGCTCCATCTCTTCGCGGTGGTCGTCATCTCGGGCGAGTTCCATCCTCCCGCCATCATGTGACCTCCGCAAGCCCAATTACTTTTCTTGACAAAACAATATCTTCAACCTGTGTAAGTTCTTTAATCCACGTGTTCCATTTCCTTTCTGTCTGTGCAATCCCATGCAAGCGCGTCTCCATGCCCCTATGCGCACTTTTGAGTTTACGTTTCCCAAAGTATTTAACCTACAGATGTTTTCAAATGCACGTGTTCCTCTTTCTGTTTCTGAACGTGTCCGTTACACAGTCTTAAGTTAACGACCACGATTCAAAGAAGCGGCGTGCGCGCGGAGAGACCGACGCCAGGGGGCGCTGTTCCCTGTGGACGCGACAGACAGCTGGGGCAAGTGCTGTTAACAAACACCTACAAAGGCAGGCATGACACACCCGGCCACCTTTGTCTCCCGAGTGGTGATGTTTATACACTGCACCAGGTACTCGTTTGAGGCTGGGTCTACCTCGGGGAGGCCCAGGACCGGTCACGACCTCTTGAGCCTCCCGGCCACCTCCCACCGGCGAACGTTTTGGTGCCAAGGCAACGATCACGCGACTCCCAAAGCCAGATTAGCTGCCGTGTCACGGCCTGTGACCCGTGGCCTCAAATCACTACCTGCCCTTTTGACAGTGGAGCTCACTCACTGGCATAAAAGAGACTGATGCTGAGAGAACACAAAAGCAGAGGCGCCACCCCCTGGGTGATTGAGTCGCTGCTCTTTGGAGACGCGGTTGCACCGACACGTCTGCTGTGTCAGCGGAAACTTTCAAGGGCTCGGCGCTCTTTGTGTGGCGAAGGCAACGACGTGGAGTCGATGGTGCGCTTCCTAGGACTGAGACGCTCTCCACATAACCCCGCAGAAATCTCCCTCCAGCAGTCCATGCCAAGTCAAGGATCAAGGGACCTTCCTTTTTTCCTCTGCTATGATGACTCACTGCCTGTCTTTCTCTATAAAATAAACTCGCCAATGTTTCTCTCCAACATTCTGAGTCGCGCTCACATTCAGGCGCTATTTAAATGAACATTGCATTGTATTGTGAGCACCAGCAAACACCAGCACCGGCAGATGTTGAGAGGCTGGGTTGGGGACATCGTGAGGAAACGAGCTACGTTGGCCTGGATGTGTACGGCACTAGTCACCCAGCAGCACAAATTACCCAGCGGCGCTAATCATCCATCGGCACTGGTCACCCAGCGGCACTGGTCACCCAGAGGCACTGGTCACCCAGCGGCACTAATCACCCAGCGGCACTAATCACCCAGCGACGGCGGACGAGTTGAGGGTATCCCTCGGTTAACGAGCCGTACGGTCTACGCGTGAGTCAACGAGCGCAGCGTGCGAGGGTGGCCGTGCGGCGCCGCGGAGCAGGAGGGGGCCGGGCGCACGTGAGGCTCGCGAGGCGGCGCTAGCGAGGCGAACACTCACGTCCCGATGTGAGCGCAGGCCCGAGCGCAGCGCCGACACAAATTCCTCGGGGCTGCCGTACGGCTCCGGGGAGTCGGGCTGGAGTCGCTGCCTCACCGCGTCCAGCCAGCACGGCAACGGAGCGTCGCCACCATCGCCACCGCTGCCTCCGTCGCTACCAGCTTCCGTGCCATTCATTTGCTTTTCAGCTTCCTGCGGGGGGGTGATTGTCAGTGTGTTGGCGTGGTATTTTCTTAATTTGAAAACATTATTCATTCACTAACATGCTTTGGAGAAACCCGTCCTGAAATTTTTTTACGAAATAATGTACTGCTGGATGAAGGTGACGAGGGTTGTTTAACCCATACTTCACCCAGCTGCGCGGTGCAGATTGGGGGGAAGGGGGAGGGGAGCTGCTGGGAAAGATGGATAAATGATCAAAGCGGCCCGATTGTGGGAATCACAGCGACAGGAGCACCTCCCGGTATGGGTTCCTCACGCTGGATTTCTTCCTTCTCCCAGCAGTCCGTCGACTGCTGGGAGAAGGCTGCCCTGTCAGTCCTGGGGCTGGTTTGACCATACGTCACGACCATAGGTCGCTCTCACGTGTCTGAAAGGGCTTATTTAATCTCCTGGTCAAATAAAGGATACTCGCAGACCGAGTGACCACGGGTTGGTGAAAGGGAGCACAGGACCGGTTCACCGATGTTCGCCGTGGCCAGGAATCGAACTCCGGTCACTAATTTTAAAGGGGAATACCGCGAACCTATGCACCACTGCTCCAGCCCACGCTGTAAGCAATCTGAGATAATTAGACAGCAGGAATTGTGTTGTTTATCTATAAGCACCAAGTGGTTTACGCGACTCGTTCTGGTGGCTACATCACCAGAATGATGTTTATCGGTGGACTGAACAGCTGTGATGCTGGCGAGTGGCGTGGGTACACAGGCGCCTGTGGTGGGAGACGCTGGCGAGCCGGCCGGGTTGCTTGGTGAGGATCGTTAGCGATCGGTCTCCACGGGTGAACTCACCGAGACGCCGGTGCACGGAGCGCTGGGCTCGCTGGTGATGCGGCACAGCACTGACAGCAGCAGCACCTCGCAGCGCTACGCACCACGCGGAGGGGTGATTAGCACCGCACACACGCACAGACACAAACAAAGACAAAGATCCCCCCCGTATAGCCTTAACAGACTGTTGGGGCAAGTGCTGTCAGCGAGCACCTATGAAAGCCAGAATGGCAGATGAGATGGTGGGTAGCCAGCACCATGCCCAACCACCTTTATTTCCCTAGTGCTGATGTTCATCACGGTTGGCTACGTGCAGTGCCATTTCACTCCACTATTGTTATATTATTACTCTGCTTGTTTACCTAGGAAAGCCTCACCGACTCTCAAGAGATTTTCAGGAGAGTCCTGCCACGTTTTCGCAGTAGGGGGGGGGCGATGTTGCTGCTGTGTGTGATTGAGTAATTTACAGAGTAATCTCTCAGCGTTGTGATTATTTCTCCGATACCAGTCACACAGTGTTGTTGTTTTTAGCTATGGGAGGAGAGTGGAGAACCCGGAGCAAACCCATGCAAAACAGGGGGAGAGAGAAGATATAGACTCCACGCACAGAGGCGCACCCGAGTCGAGAATTAAACCCAGGCAGCCTTCTTCCTGTGAGGCGCGAGACTCACTGCTGTGCTATCGCCCTAGTTGGGGTACCGCTGTGGCGAGATGTTAACTACCTCGCCTAGTATACAGGAGGTCATGGGTTTGACCCGACTCCTGTATATTTCAAGTTTGCACGTTCTCCATGTGGTCGCGTGGATTTATGTCCGGCTCCTCCGGTTTTTTCCCCCACATTTAGAATTAACACGGGTATTTGGCTGCTATAAATTTCCACACAGTACGCCACTTTATTAAGCTACCATTTGTGGCCAGGTCGAGCTACATAGCTCAGTGGGCCCTACCTGGTAAAATAAAAAAGTTGAACAATAGTTTTAAAAATAGTTGTGGGGCTCGTTTGAGAAGGTGAGGAAGTTAGAGGGTGGCTCAGCCACTCACCCTCCGCTCGCCGGCTGTCACACCGTCCCGCGCCGTCTCCGCTGCATCTTCCTCGCAGTCCGGGCCGCGGCACAGGCCACAGCGCCAGTCCCCGCTGGACACGAGGACAACATCGGACGTCATGATGCGCGAATCGCCAACGATCCTCCGCTTCCGGCCGTGCGTATTTTGTTTGTTACCCTCACAATGCTGCTTCAGCTGGGAACAGTGTTTGTTGATTTAGCAGAAAAACAGCTGAAATGCACAAACACATCTGGGCTGCAGTGCCAACGGACAGAAACACTAACTACACTCACGGGCTTGCAGCGGGCTGCCGACATGAAAAAATCTCCCGCATATTTCAACAGCAGATGTCTGCACACTGTGTCCGAACGTGTGTACGGGTGTCGGTGTCAGATTCCGTGCATGTTGAAAACTACTTTCTTCAGAACTGCTTCTTGTGTTTAGTTTTTTTCCTTCCCCCGTACCACCAATTAGCACGTTTGGCTACGTACAGTGCAAAAGAAGTTCAAAATACATGCATACATGTGAGCGTGCGCGCGTGACTGTGCCTGCCACTCCATGCCGTACCCAGGATGCTCGGAGAGGACGGGCACGTGACAGGTCAGGTGATACCGCCCCCCGCACTCCGCGCAGGCCAGCACGGGGGCGTCCGCACCGCACACTGCGCAGTCGCACCCGGCGCCCTCGGTCATCTGCTCCGGCGCCGGCTCCTGCGCCGCATCGTCCCCGCCGCCGGCCCCGTCGCTCCCCGCGCCCTCGTCTCCTCTCCGCAACGCGGAACTGCTGTCCGCGCCGCTGGCACCCCGGCCGGTGCCCTCGGCGCTGCGGTGTCCGGGCAGGCCGGTGGTGGAGTCGGGCTGGCTGTGTCGGCGAGGGGAGTGCCCGGGCCCGGCGCCGCAGTGCGGAGTGGAGCCCGCCGCGTAGTCGGCGCCGTCGAGCCGCTCCTCCTTGACGCGCACGGCGTGGATGGGGAGCGACTCGCAGCTCGGGTTGGACAGCGGCGGGGTGAGGATGCTGTCGGGGCTGCTCAGCTGTGCACGCACACACGGCACGTACAGGGACGCATTTAAGATGTGTACATAAATACAACCTGCGCAGCAATTTTAAATAATCCAAATAAACAGGTTTTTATTTCAAAAAAGTAATATTTACTTACGTACTCTCTCTAGTAACCGCGAGATGTACAATGGTCCAATAAAAAAAAGGAAGGAAAATGTATTTTGAGAGATTCCTGAGCAGCGGCACCTCATGAGCAGGGCTTAACGTCTCACTGTACGAATTTCCGTGTTGTCCCTAGACTGGAGCAGGTCATGGTCACGCGACCTGTCACACGGCCTACGTGCCCGAAATATCCTTCCAGGTCAGCGAGCCGGACGGGGCTGAGATGACCCCGTGCTAGTGAGAGACATGCCGACCGCTTCCCTTCACACTCTCCCGGGTTCACACGTATTCACTCAACAGCCACCGGCACAGCGAGCGGATCGGAAGCGCGGGCTTGCGAGGTCACATCCTGGTTGGGGGTCTCTCTGCCCATGGTTGGGGTTCGACAAAATGATTATCACTTTGTGGGGGAAGTCACCCCCTTTATAGTAGTGTGGAATTTCCGCTACTTGCGGCTCAGGGCTATGAACAGGGAATGAGCACCAATGCCTCAATGCTCATTCTGAGCAGAAAATCGCACCGACGTTTCCGAGATGTGGCTAACGTCACCCACTTACCCAGGACAGCCCCACCGAGTCTCAAGGCACTGTACGGAAACAGTGGGAATATTTATTTGAAAGCGTCAATCACATGCAGAGGATAACAGGTCTTGATCGAGGGCTTTTCATGAAGATCCAAAGACTTAAATAGAGACTAATATATACGAGTAACAGATCCACCTTTCACATAAATCAAAAATGTATTGCATCAGGAACTCTCATGCAACACAACGTGCATTCATAAAGAGGGAGCTGCGTAGTGGAACGCCACTTGACGTTCGGCCCAGAGGTCGCCGCCACGATTCGATCTCCCGGCGCGGCCGTTGGGAAAAATGCTCCAAGCTTATTTCCAAATTCACCCCCCCCCGCCTCTGTCCACCCAGCAGCATGAGGGAGTTTACCGCAGCAGTTAGCCTTTGAACGGCATGTCCGATTAGCACGGTTATCATGGTTGGCTACGTACAGTGCGAAAGAAGTTCAACACACATACATGGATGTCCACCACATGTGCCCACTTATACTATAGGCAGAACAAGGCAATCGGTAGGGCTTGAGCCTGGACTTGAACGGAAGCGAGGAAATCGACGGCACGTGTTGGGCGGCCTTCGCCACACACTGTACGCGCCGCCGCCACTCTCCCCGGCGAGCACCGCCGGCAGGGACGAGGCAGCGCGGCACCGCCCCGTCCTCATTAACGGTGCCGTTGGCCGCGACCGTGCAAAGGCGTCCTCTATTTACACCGCCCCCTCCCCACAACCGTTATTCCCGTGCGTGCACGAGCGAGCGTTTTGATCTTGGGGGACGGAAGCCGCGAGCCGAGCGAGATCGCTGCCTCTGGGGGGCTTCCCCATCATTCGCCGTCGGCGCCGGCGGTCGCGGTTTCCGCACACTCCGCGTTCTCACCACGCAACAGGCGCTCCCGGCGGCGCCGCCCCCGCCGAGCGCCGCCTCCTGCTTCACGCTCACGCTGTTGGCGGACGCGGAGGGCGCAGCGGTCGCGGGGGTCGCCGATGCCAACGCGTGGTGGTGGTGGTGCTGCTGTTGCTGCTGCCCCCCGCACGCCGAGCCCCTCTCGGCGAGCGCCGTGCCGGGCTCGTGCTTGATTCGCTCGAGGCGCACGTATGGGACTTTGGGGGATGCGGAGCTGTGGGATGCAAGCGCGCGCACGCACACGCACACACACGGACACACGCGCACACACAGACACACGCACACACGGACACGCGCACAACGCCCATGCGCGCGCACGGGACGGCCGCAACGTCAACGATGCACCGGTTTGTTCGTCAGTTGAAATAAATTGTCATGCACGTGCGCTTGTAAAAATCGTCGTCAACAACAGCCATGATCAATCCACTACTGGATGAAGGCCTCTCCAAGCTACCAATCCTATCTTGCGATGCAAGAGTCACTGACGATTTTTGCGAATTAAAGGGTAATTTTCGGTGGGAGAGGTGGTGAAGCAGTGGTCAGTGCACTACGGTGTGAACCAAGTGACCTCAGATTTCTGGCCATGGCTAACATCAATGGATACAAATATCTGAACCGATCCCAGGCAACTCCACCTCCCCTTCACCAACCCACACTTTGTGATTCATCACCATTTCAGAGCAGTTTCTTCTTCAAGCAAAATTTTACACTAGCATGTAATACTAATAATTAATAGCCCTCCTTCAAACAACTGATGGATAAAGGTCTCCCCACGCCACGTGGGTCATGGGGGTTGTTTTGACCATACTTCACCCTGCTGGTCCATGCGGGTTGGTGAAGGGGTGAAGGGTACCCACGAACCTGTTCAGATTTCGCCCGCCACTGACGTTAGCCACAGCCAGGGTTCAAACTCGGGTTACCGGCAGGTTTGAAGCGCGGCGCACCGACCCAGCGCGTGCCACCGCTCCACCGCACACACAACGAAATTTAAAATCAACTCATCCGTCACACTAAGTCTAACACCGCCCCCCCCCCCCCAATTTAAATGAATGGTGCCGCTCGACCGCGGGGGCGAATGAAAAGGGACGAGCGTCTCCGGCCCCGACCTCGGCGAGCGTGGTGGTGGTGGTGGTGGGAGGAAGAGCCCCCCCACTGATTGATGAACCTCGTGTGCCATTTGCGGTGGGGGTGGGGGGCTCAGCTCCCGGATCGTGGCAGCCAAAACAAATACGTTGGGATCGCGGTGTTTAATCACACGGAGGGGGGAGACTCTCTAGACCCCCCCCCCTCCCCAGCAGCCCAGTTCTCATCGGCAATACACACGCATAGCCCCTTTGCTAACCCAAAGCCGAATGAGGCCATTGTTTAACCGTACTTCACTACAGAGGTCACTGAGCATTGGTGAAGGTGGGCAGCATAGCCGTGGGGGCATAGAAGTACAGTACGGTAGGAATATGAGTGCGAAATGTCAGCACACGGCGCTATGAACCCAGACAACCGAGTTTGACTCCCAACTACAGCTGACATTGGTGATGAGTGACGCCGTTAATAAGTCCAGGGCCTTCTCCAACCTGCACTGACCGGCGTGAAGTATGGTCAAACAATCCCACCGACAAGACACGACGCGGGGAGGCCTTAATCCAGCAGCAGATTGACAAATGGCTCCACATGATTATTATTATTATCATCCCTATTATCATTATAAATCCCCATTGCTTTGTATTGCAGAACCTGTAAAGGTGCAAAATGGGGTGCTCCACTCTTGAAGGATCACTCGTGGGTGACAAGCCTGAGCAATTGCACGCGAAGGCAATCGCTCAGACGCAAAATCTCGACGGATCGTTTATTACTCTCGGAGAAGAGGATGGAGGGGGGGAGGGGCAGGCGTGGGATAGCAGGGCGGGGGCAGCGTGGGGCAGTCACCTGCCGTGGCTGCCAGTGCTGGAGGCACTGGAAGGCCTGATGGGCGTCTGGCTCGCCACCGTCACTGGGAGGGCGGTAGAGGGGGGGGGGGCGAACACACACACACACACGGACGCGGCAGCAGAAGGGTTATTCCTGCAGCGGCTCATTATGCGTTTAGTTTGTTGTCCTTCCCCCCGCACGGTGGGTGTGTGTATGCGTGTGACGAGGGTGGTGCTGGCCACCCACCCCCTCGTGTGCCGTGCCAGCCTTTATAGGTGCTCGTTAACAGCACTTGCCCCAACAGTTTGTTCAAGCTATACGGGGGATCTTTGTGCTGGACAAGCAAGCGAAGGTGCGCCGCTTGATGCGTTACGTCGAGTCGTACGCGTGAGAACCAAGTCGTTTATTCACAGTTCACGGAGCCTTAAATTAATGCCTGGTGCAGCATGTAAAAATCAGCATTGGGGAAACAAAGGTGGCCGGCCATGGAGCTGGCCACATTACCTCATTGTGCACCACGCGGACCTTCATATGTTCTCTCATAGCACTTGCCCCAACAGTCTACGTTAACCATGTGGGTATTATTTGTCTTTTGTATGTGTGCACACGCATGTGTGTGCACATGTGTTTGTCCGTGTGCCTGGAAGCGCACAATATTGCGTGCGTGCGTCTTCACGCCAGTGGGTGGCACAGCGGGGAGCGCAGGCGGTGCATCTGCTAATCATCTCAGCCAGTTAACCCATAACACCTGGGCGTGTACCCGTGATATCCTGCCAGCGAGACCTTACGCACTGCACGTGACAGCCTCAAAATGCATTGAGCCTTGCACAAGTCCTGCTGTTATGTCACTCCGCCATTTAGTAGTGAGTGGCGGCTGTTGATGTTTCTGCGACTGCTGCTGTAGTTGTTGCTGCTGCCGCGGTGGACGCCACGTACCGGGCGAGTGCATGGCGGACCCCGGGGAGATGGAGAATCCGGGGGAGGTGAGGCGGGGCGCGGGGCTGGGCACACCGTCCGCTAGGGCCCCGTTGGCGTGAACCGCCGCCAGCTTCAGCACCGATGACACGTCCTCAAACTGCACGAGACGCGGGAGCGGCACGCACGCACACAGGCACGCGAACACATGCGCGCGCACAAGCACACACACACACAGACGCACGCAAGCACACACGCGCACCGCCAACACGCACCCGACCAGACTGCTGTCTCTTCACGTGATACTCAGTCGTACAGAAATGATAACATAATTCCTATGGAATTGCTTTGATTTGTCAATCATAACCTAACCGAGCTGTGGGTATCAATTTTCATTCGGAAAACTTAGCAGCGAGCAGTGCACCACCGTGTTGCCAGCCAATGGCCCTGGAGGCTGACGTCTCACAACCCACTGAGGCCAATTCAACAGTCCTCTTCTCCCACACCAGGTGGTGCTGCTGTACGCGTGGGCTTCCGAGGTTTACCTTCACTCACCAGCAGCTTCACAATGCCGCGGTATACTCAGCACAGCGCTGCACCGGTCGTCGCATATATAGCAGAAGAACTCCGTTTTTGTGTCTCTGCCAGTAAGCCAAACAGCCGACGGGCATCCCAGAGCAACACTGTCCAGCAGCAGCGTTTGTTTGGGCACCAGGGCTGCGCTGTGAGGATTTTCTGGGTGAACAAGTTTGACAAACTAAAACGGAGACCAAATTCTGCACAGGATTTCACTTCATGGGTTTCATAAGCAGTGTCATTTATGTACACGTGGAGGCAGAGAACAGAGTTCTGCTTGTATATGCTGTTACCCAAACGTGAAACAGAAATCCCGGGAGGCAAAAACCGATATTTTTTGTTTCGCAGGAACACGTCGGGCGGCCAATTAAAAGCGCGCCCCCTCGCTGCACCGCGAGCCGATTGCCGCGGTGAAACTGAAGCACTGCCGCACGCATCGACCTCGGCAGCCCGGGTGGCGGCGGCGGCGGCGGCGCGGTCGGCTCGCACCATCATCGTGCGGCATGGCAGCACGAGGCCCTGATTAGCGCCTCCTCCGCTCGCCCGATTAACATCCGCACGCGGCTGCTCCCCAGCTGCCGGCATGAGGAACCCGCGGGTGAAGACAAATGGTGCGTGGGGCACGTTTTTTTACGCGACTGCAAGGTGCCACCGCCGAGCGGGGCAGTCCTGTTTAGTAAGCAAACGGAGCACCCAAACCAATAATGTTTGGAGGCGGCAAAGCATTACGTCGGTTACGATTTGTTTACAATTAATTTTATTCATGAAAGAAACCAAGAGACCGCTGTGTGACACGCAACGGCCATCAACACGTGTCAGGAAGGTGAGGGCAGAGGAGGAGTCAACTCCCTCCTTTACCCCGCGACCCCCTCCCCTCCTGAGCTGGGTGCCTTTATTGAGGCGAGCGAGGTTGGCGCGGCACCGCCGCAGCAGCAGCCTGGCTCCACGAGGCCTCGACAAACGGAGACACAGAGGCCCGGCACCAGATCGTATTTAGAGCACACAGAATCTAGAGGGCCGGATCAGAACACTCTTTATCAGTTTGACCCCACAGCCAGATTGAATCACTCTTCTCGAGTCTGGTACCACCGAAACAGACAAAAGGCAATTAGAACAAGGTTGCAAGAATCCTTGACCAGATACACTAACCCTATATAGTATTCTGACCCCCAAATGGGAGTAATTTTTCCACCAGGGGATGGGGAGTCGTTCTGATGTCATCGAAGATTGACCCCAGGGTTCAAGCAATGGGCAGCGCTCACCCCAGGGTAAGAATTATACGGCAGTGAAAATAACTACGTCACACCGGCCTTGCGCAGGCATGGGTGAGAACCCACCTGTATCTGGGGAATGTGTGGCAAGGAAGGCAAGTTCTCAGGGTTGGTCACAGACGGGATGTGGTCGTAAGCCACCAGGGGGGCTGGCTTGGGGTGCGCGGGGGGCGGGGGGGGCGGGTGGAGGCTCACCACGGGGAAGGGGACCCCGAGGGGGACACTGCTGCCGGGGTGCTGCAGGGCAAGAGGAAGGGGGGAGGGGGCACAGGGAGGAGGAGGAGGATTACATTCGGACATCGTCGCCCACAGGTAAAGCGCACAGCGGATCGAATGCGGCGGCTGCCGTTGCTCTACTAGGCAAGTCACAGAGATGCACCGAATCATCGATCACGCGCAATGATTTGTACGTCTAGTAATCGGTAACGTACAACTTCTGCGAATGATACGCTGATGTTGCGATGACGATGCTATAGCGAACCAGTATATACAATGGAGACAAGGAATGACAAACATCAGGAAAACACAACATGATACAGCGCTCTTTACGCACAGCAGTCTCAGCTTGCAGCCTGACCAAAACGACACCAACGAGTCGGTAAAACTGGCACGAGGCAAAAAATCGATTCGCGGGTCAAATTTGCAAAATTATGCCGTGACAATGGATGGAATTCTCTGCGGGAGTGCATCGTTACATCATCATTACTTCATCACAACGTCGTGCGCCGTGCCACAACGCGACACTGTCACAGCAAATCAACTCCAGCATCGTCCAGAATCAGCCGAGTGCGATGCACAGCCTCGCTCTACTCACCTGAATGCGCACTCAGTGAACGACACGATAACACAGCCCCTTGTCAGCCCACTGCCTGGATTAAGTCCTCCCGACACTGTGTTAGCCACCAGTTGGTCAGTTTGAGTTCGTGAATGAGGGGGGGGGGGGGGGGCAGTGGGGGGGATGTCCAGCACTGGTTCGAGTACCAGTCGCCAATGATGTCAGTCGTAGGGAAGTGCACAAATCACTGTGCCACTGCTCCTCATATGAATATGAAGTGAAATTTCAGGGTATTTTAAGAACACTTTAAATGGACTGGACGTCTCGGTCACTCCCATGCTCCAAGTCACTTCTACCGTTGTACGCGTGCACACGCATAGCCCCTTCGTCAATCCATTTCTGGATGAGGACCTCCCCACGCCATGTGGGTAGCGGGGATCAGTGCGGGTCACATGATGGGGGTGCCAACTCCTGCCCACCAGGTAGCCCCGCAGCCACCTATAACAACCTGCCATGCAAAGCGGTCCGCCCATCCAAGCACTTTCCAAGCTCAACACTATATTGCCAAGATTACAGACACTTAGAATTTCACAAGTGCAAGCAGGAAGTTTTAATGTCCATTAGGGCAACTCGCCCTTGAATTTTGTTCGATATGTTAAGATGAGCCGTGCATTTTTGTAGGTTTATCTTGTTCAACAAATGACTAAACTTACAGATCCACTTATACGTTACAATGTTTGTCAAGCCTTCGTTCCAAGGCAGACGATAATGTTTCACGCGGAGACCTTACGCGCTTCCGAGCATCGTCAACGCAGAGGGCAAATGCAGGAAAAATAAAAATGAAACGTTACGGTCTTAATGGGCACGGCAAGCAAACCGGTAAGCAGCAGTTAGGTGCGGTGTGTGGGTTTATGGGCGCGAGTACGTGTGCGAGCGCTGGTGCATGGGCGTACGTTTCGCCTCGCCCAACGAAGCGAGACTAAAGTATGCTCACATCGCTCCCTTCCCCCCGCACCCGCCCATTACCCGCTGTGAGCCCAACGTGCCCCCCGGCGGTGCCCGGGCCGTTTAAAATGCTGTGAAGCCTAACGGGACAAACTGGCGTGCACTCTCCGCATCCTACTACGCACACGGTCAACCCGGCAGGGACCGAGCGTGCACCATGCGGGCCCCCGGGCCGAGGAATAAAAGCGCTAAGCAGAGAGCGACGTAACCTTGTGCCCGCACGCACCGGCGCAGGTGCGCGCGGAGGGTGTGGCTGCGCTAGCGGGTTAACCCCGCTCCTCCCCCCGCGCGAGCGGTCGCGGGTCGAGTACAGCGTGGGGCCCGGCAACGATCTGGCCACGTGAACGAGAGGTCAGGCGGCCGGGACACGGAATGTCTTTATATTTGTGAGAAGTGCTGTGTCCATGATTATTTTAAATGTATTTTATTTTATTTCTGTCAAGACTTCTACATTGAGGTTTTGCTTGGAATTAATTAAATGTCTGCCAAATCACCGTTGTATTTCACAAGCCTTTCTGGAACACGGTGGGGTTGAACCATAAAATATTTACTTCACAACTCAGGAGTTCACGTATTCTTTCAGAGAAAATAACCATCGTCAGCATTTACAAATGAAATGCAACCATATCAGCATCGACACTATCCACCGTGACCAACCAGAACCGGCCAAGCTTGGTGAAGTATAGCGAGACAGCCCCATAAACGCGCAGGCAGCGGTGGACTGCAAAGAGGCAGCGGCTGTATTTGTACACGACATAGCAGACGTGCGCCATACACGAGGGGCGATGCGTAAGAACACAAGGCTCCCGTGGCACTCCCTGGGCCCTCCCCTCACGGCGACACCGAGGTGACACCGAGGTGACCCCGAGGTGACCCTGAGGTGACACCGAGGTGACCCCGAGGTGACCCCGAGGTGACCCCGCGCCCCGTCCTTCTAGGAGCTCCTCCCATGTCCCCGTGAACCACCTCCCACTTTCACCATCTCCCCCTCCCCCGCTCGCTCCCCATGACCTCACCACCCTGGGGGCTCTCCTCGCGTTCCAAGCGGCCGACCACAAGCTCGTGTGAGTTCTCTCACCGAGGGCGCCGATGAGAAGAAGGAACATTTAAACTTTTTACTTTTACGCCTCAATTTTGCATCCCCCGCTGAACTTGTGGCTATGAATCAAATCCCAGGCTCTATCTCACAATTTCCTTCACGAGCCACCCCCCCAGATTTGCCTGTCAACCTGTCTCTGCTCATCTCTATCCATTCATTCACTGCCGCGTTCCCGTGCTGTAGAAGGCTCGCTGCACTATGAACCAGGCAACCCCAGATTGATTTGCGACCACGGCGAACCTCAGTTGTGAGTGATATCTGAACGGCTCCGTGGCACCCCTCTTCCCCAACCTACACTGACCGGTGTGATGTATGTTCAAACAAACCCCCACGACCAACACGGTATTCAGAAGGCCTTCTTATCCAGCAGTGGGGGTCGACAAAGTCTCGTAATTATTGATCATCATCATCTTCAGCCATGGTCAATCTACTGCTGGATGAAGGCCTCCGCAATCTACAGCCATTTCTCACAATCCTGCAATATGATAACATGAATACAACGAGCACCTGCACAAGAGCTAATTTAATTGTGATTATTGTCATTTTATTGCTACTTCATTTATACTTACTGCCCCATCTCCCCTTCCCACTGCCGGCAGTTCCTAGCTCTAGCGATCCAAGTCCCCGTGCTACCCTCCTCACCTGTCGGAGCGAGTGTGCCGGGTTTTGCGGGGGCCCCTGTGGTGCCCGCTGCTGCTGCTGCTGCTGCGGCTGCTGCTGTTGTGGTCCCGGAGGCTGCTGCTGCTGCTGCTGCCCCCCGATGCGGACGCTGCCGCCGCCTTGGGCGACGGCGCGAGCTTGCGTGGCCGACAAGTGCTGCGTGGCTCGGTGGAAGGACTGCAGGCTGATGAGCCGCGGTGGCTGCACACACGACCGAGAACACGCACACACGCAAATGTACATGGCAGGCGTCGATGTACATAGACGGACGACGAAATTTCGACAAACATAGGTTCCAAATATGCGCTTTTATACACCTTTTTGGGTTATTGAAATTTTCTCAAGATTTATCGCGATCGTGCTGTCTGCGTCAAAGAATCCACTTGGATCTCGCAGAACAGTGGTGACCCGTCACGTCACAAAACGGTCCACGGAAGCGGATATCAGAGATGCCATCACAAGAATTGGTCTACACAGCAGAGGGCAGCACACTTTCCTTTCCTCAAAACGGTACTTTTAATTCTCCGAGCTGTCCCAGTTCAATTCAAGCTGCTGAAACCGGCTCGGCATTCTGCCCTCCGAGCCGCTCGGGCATCTCGCACCGTACCACCCCTTGTAGCGCCCGCGCACCTGCCCGCCGTTGGTCGGAGAGAGAGTGGCGAAGGCCGGCTGCCCGGCAGCAAGGGCGGTAGCGGCCGCCACGGACGCAGACGAAGAAACTCTGCGGTGGGGCTGCAATGGCTGAGGCCTGGCCACCAGACGAAGCTGCTGCTGCTGCTGTTGCTGCTGCTGCTGTTGCTGCTGCTGTTGCTGCTGTTGCTGCTGCTGTTGCTGCTGCTGTTGGTGTTGTTGCTGCAGCTGATGCTGCTGTTGCTGTTGATGCTGATGCTGTTGCTGCTGCTGCTGGTGCTGCTGATGCTGCTTGATGGCCCGCTGCTGCAGGTGCTGCAGACGGAGCTGAGCCAAGTTGATCTGCCCGGAGCCCGGCGGGCCCGGTGGCAGGGGCTGCAGGGGGGGTCCTCCTCCTGACGCCTGCTGACGCATCGGGCCCCCCGGCCCCGCGAGCGAGGCCGGGAGAGGGGGGCCCGGCGCGGAGGGGGAGGGCGGCATGTGGGGCACGGTGCCGGGGGGCGGCCGGCCTGCCTGCGCAAGCGCGATGTTGGGCAGAAACGCGTGCACCGCCCCGGGAGGAGGGTTCTCAACCACCAGGGTGCCTGCACGCAGACGCCGCACACGTCGACGCAAGGACGGGAGGACGCGTTCGCGCAGGGTTTTTTCATTAGATTTTGCCAGTGGGTCACATCACAACATGTACACGTGCTGGCAGGCCACATGACGTCCGTGTCACGTACACAGCCGTTAGAATGTTACGTGGCGTCGTGACGTCATGACGACTGCACGCGTGACCGCTAACCTGTACAGCTGATCTCCAAGATCGCCTGTATCTCCCTTGTGTATCTTCACTCAGATGTATTACTCGTCTACAGCTCTCTCATCTCTACAGTGAGGGAAAAAAGTATTTGATCCCCTGCTGATTTTGTACGTTTGCCCACTGACAAAGAAATGATCAGTCTATAATTTTAATGGTAGGTTTATTTGAACAGTGAGAGACAGAATAACAAAAAAATCCATAAAAACGCATGTCAAAAATGTTAGAGATTGATTTGCATTTTAATGAGGGAAATAAGTTTTTGATCCCCTCTCAATCAGAAAGATATCTGGCTCCCAGGTGTCTTTTATACAGGTAACGAGCTGAGATTAGGAGCACACTCTTAAAGGGAGTGCTCCTAATCACAGCTTGTTACCTGTATAAAAGGCACCTGTCCACCATGGCCAAGACCAAAGATATCTCCAAGGATGTCAGGGACAAGATTGTAGACCTACACAAGGCTGAGATGGGCTACAAGACCATTGCCAAGCAGCTTGGTGAGAAGGTGACAAGAGTTGGTGCGATTATTCGCAAATGGAAGAAACACAAAATAACTGTCAATCTCCCTCGGCCTGGGGCTCCATGCAATATCTCACCTCGTGGAGTTGCAATGCTCATGAGAACGGTGAGGAATCAGCCCAGAATTACACGGGAAGATCTTGTCAATGATCTCAAGGCAGCTGGGACCATAGTCACCAAGAAAACAATTGGTAACACACTACGCCGTGAAGGACTGAAATCCTGCAGCGCCCGCAAGGCCCCCCTGCTCAAGAAAGCACATATACATGCCCGTCTGAAGTTTGCCAATGAACATCTGAATGATTCACAGGACAACTGGGTGAAAGTGTTGTGGTCAGATGAGACTAAAATGGAGCTCTTTGGCATCAACTCAACTCGCCGTGTTTGGAGGAGGAGGAATGCTGCCTATGACCCCAAGAACACCATCCCCACCGTCAAACATGGAGGTGGAAACATTATGCTTTGGGGGTGTTTTTCTGCTAAGGAGACAGGACAACTTCACCGCATCAAAGGGACGATGGACGGGGCCATGTACCGTCAAATCTTGGGTGAGAACCTCCTTCCCTCAGCCAGGGCATTGAAAATGGGTCATGGATGGGTATTCCAGCATGACAATGACCCAAAACACACGGCCAAGGCAACAAAGGAGTGGCTCAAGAAGAAGCACATGAAGGTCCTGGAGTGGCCTAGCCAGTCTCCAGACCTTAATCCCATAGAAAATCTGTGGAGGGAGCTGAAGGTTCGAGTTGCCAAACGTCAGCCTCGAAACCTTAATGACTTGGAGAAGATCTGCAAAGAGGAGTGGGACAAAATCCCTCCTGAGATGTGTGCAAACCTGGTGGCCAACTACAAGAAACGTCTGACCTCTGTGATTGCCAACAAGGGTTTTGCCACCAAGTATAAATCATGTTTTGCAGAGGGATCAAATACTTATTTCCCTCATTAAAATGCAAATCAATTTATAACATTTTTGACATGCGTTTTTCTGGATTTTGTTGTTGTTATTCTGTCTCTCACTGTTCAAATAAACCTAGCATTAAAATTATAGACTGATCATTTATTTGTCAGTGGGCAAACGTACAAAATCAGCAAGGGATCAAATACTTTTTTCCCTCACTGTATATCTTCATCATCTCAATAACCCGAATCTCTTTAAATCTCAGCGAGCCCTCTATTGGCGCACCATGACTCGGTGGGCCACTCCGAAGGCCTTCCCGAGCCAGATGTAGCCCGAGGACCGCCAAGCAACTGTTGCTGCCAGTAGTTGCCCTGACATTTATCTTTTCCAAAAAGTGTATTTTCCTCAATCTGGACACATTCTATTACAGCTGCCATAGTGGGCGCAAGGGTTGGCAACTTCCAATCACATCACAGATAGTGGTCACATGACTACTCTGAGCCACCCAGCTATCCCATGTTAATAAATCAAAGGAATTAAAACTGTCACCCATCTAAAAAAAAAATCACACGCAAATACTGGTTGGGGGTTGACTCAGCCCATCATTCCTCCCCTCTTAGTTGTTAAATGGAGGGAGTCAACAGTGGCTGTCTTGTGGAAAGTTTCCGCCACCTGCCACAGGAATGTGGAATTTCCGTCACTGTCTCAGGGCTGCAAAGGTAAGACAAGCACTGCCTCAGTACTCGTTTGAGCAGCACATCGCTGTGACTTGCCGCACAGCGGCAAGGCTCTCGCTCGCTCTCACAGATCCGTTCCCCGAGATTCGTTCACCCGATGGGGGAGGTGGCGGTGAGAGACGCTGGGCGCTGGGGACGTACCGAGGTTGAGGACGTTCTTGGCCCAGAAGGAGGAATCGCAGTGGAACTTGACGCCGCTGCTGGCCACGGGTGCCGGGTCGCAGCGCGCCCTTAGGATGGCACGCAGCTGGTACGTCACCTGCCGACGACACGAGCGCCGTCAGCAACCTCAAACGTGGCGATGTGCAAGCGAAACGTCCGGACGAGAGGACGCGAGTGGACGAGACAACCGCACGCACGCCGACCACAAACTCATCAAAGATGATGAGCGACTCGACACAAATCCACATAAATTATTCATTAATTTAATGTTGTGCCTAGGATGCTGGCCAACTGCCCAGTGAGACGGAGAGATGAAACGGCACAGTGTGACTTTCTCTCATTGCACGTAATGTAATCTACAATAAAGGTCAAGTGATGGTTAGCGCACAGCAAGTTCAACACAGTGACCTGAGATCGGCGGGATGTATGGTCAAGCAACGTCCCCCCCAGGTACCCCAGGTAGCCTTCATACAATGATACAACAGCAGATTGATAAAGGGGTGTAATTTATTATTATTAATTGAACATTAAAATCGTCTGGTGTGCAGGTGCCAGGTGGATTATTGCACTGCAGGGTTGTGAGGAGAGGGCAATGCTTGGCGATGGCTTCAATCGGCAGCAGCTTGATGATGGCCATGACGACGACGATGATGACAACGAGGAAAAGTCATTGCACGACAAGGAAGGCGTGCAGAGAGAAGTGTGTGTGGTAGATGCGGGTGGCCGTCTCCCTGCGCTCGGGTAATTTAGCACCCCGACTGTTTACTTTGGGTGACATAAATTGCGTGGCAGAGCGATGAGATTCTTTTATCGATTTCTTAATTTCCCGATCACATGCGGTTTCATTGCTTTAATGAGACGAGATTTACTCCCCCCTCCTGCCGGATTTTCCACCGGCTCTATTTCATGACCCAAAAACCAGTTACGACAAATTTATCACGAAATATTACATTAAGCTGTAACAATCAATTTGCTTTTTTTAACTTTGCTACTAAAACTTTCAGCTCGAGTCATTTCAGATGGAATGAAAAAAAGAGCAATTTAAATTGAGTAAATTAACAAGCTATTACTTCGTGTCTATTTTTTATTGCATAAGCATAATGCAATTTCTCAAACAGCCCTTCAATTACTGGTTCACACACTCATACATTAGAGGCTGTTGGGGGGAAAGCGCTATTAGATAGCCCCGATGAAGGCTGGTACGACGAACGAAGGGGTGGTGTGGCCACCTTTGTCTCCACGGTGCCGATATTTACACATTACAGCAAGAACTCATTTAAGGCTGCGTCGACCAATTAACACGCAGGACCGGTTTAAATAATCACAAACTGATGTTGGCTATGGCTGTGAATTGACTTCGGGCTGCTGGGTTTGTAACAGTGCACGAACCATTATACCATCACTCCCAAACCACACAGCACACGAAACACGCACGCATGCCCCATTCACCGGCCTTACAAAACCGAACCACATCCGCGCGCGTGAATCCCACTTGACGCCACTTTGCCATTTAAAGAGCAGCGACTCCAAGCCTCCTGCGGCTGTTGTTTTATTCTTGCTTTGTTTGCCTCTGCGTCCATCCCCTCCCAGCCTCCCCCGCGCCCCCTCCCCGGCAGACATGTTCTGCGAGCGAGCAGGCGGGCGTGCGCGTAAGTGCCCGGCTAGGCCCCACTTTCGAAATGAGGCACGTTTGCTTTTCTTCTCTGGGCACATTGGCGCACGTTTAGAGGTTTTTTCGCGTGTGGGTTTTTTTCGAGAGGCGCCCTTACTCTGCAAGCCATCCCAGATTAGCGTAAGGATGCTTGACAGCCCTGTCTTAAAGGCCACGACCTCGGCTCTCAATGCGACTAATCCCAGCGTCGCAATTTGGACAAGCCCTGGCCACAACACCGTGCCCCGTGCGTAAAAACCCTCACCACCCGACAACCTTTGCCGTAGTATGGGCAACGTTTCACCAACTCTAGTCTTCGCTACCCACTACGCACTGCTTTTGCCAACTCAGACCAACAAATCTTATCGCCTTTATTAAACCCTCCCACGCCTCCCCCATCACCGAGCTGAGCTTCATCGTCACCCCTCACCAAGCTCTCACGTGTATCAACCGTGCTAATCGGAGGTGTGGGGGGAGTTGCTGCCTGCCCGAGGGTTGCCACCTGTCCTGGTTTTCCCAGGATTATCCTTTTGCTGAGGCAAATAATAACACACCCCTCTGGACGATGCAATTGCATGAAGTTCTGTCTCCTATTTACTACTATGAGATGCTTAGTACCGTGCAAACCGAACCAAGTGTAAATCTGCCAGACGCGTCGTGAGAACAATTGATGAGAGCGAGAGACGAAATCAATTCCGGAGTGGAGACCGAGCGGAGGGAGGAGAAGCAGAGAGATTACGGAAGAGGCGGCGACTGGGCCAGCAGCAGCTGGGGAGCAGAGGGAGCGGAACCGAGAATGGGGAGTTTCTGGCCAATAACAACAAGAACGATTTTATATTATGTCCCTCACAAGTGGCAACCTGAGGCCGTGCACTCTCCCAGCCTGTGACCCCAGGCCCACTCACCAGCCGCTTGCTGTAGAGCAGGGCGGTGCTGTTGCCGCTGGCGACGGCGAAGCGTGCAAAGCTGAGGACGTGCTCCACGTGCCGTGCCAGCTCGCCAATCTCGTCCCGCTGGCGGCCTAGCTTGGCCTGCCGCTCACGTGTCACCGACTAGGGGGGGAGTGGGGAGGGGTGGGGAGGTGGGAGGCAGGGAGCGAGGGAGGGGGGGGATCATCACCAGAATAATAATGGGGACAAAGTGACAAAGAGGTTTCCTGCGCAATCAGCACGGGATTGTGTTCATCTGTTGGCAGCCCAGAGCAATTTGTGACAGTTCCATATCCCTTATTGCAGGGGTGAGTATTGCCATAGGAACATTATCAGCTATAAAATTGTACTTTTAGAGTTCTTTGACATTCCACTGCTGGATGAAGGCATCCCCACGCTGTGTTCGTCATGAGGGATGTTTGAGCGTACTTTGCCACGCTGGTCAGTGTGGGTTGGTAAATAGCGTGATGCATTCGGATATCAATTGGCACCGATGTTAGCCGTCTCCGGCAATCGTACTCAGGTATCGGGGTTCACAGCACAGCATGCAAACCAATACATGACCCACAAATGTATGAACTTCTTTCGCACCGTACATAGCCAAACGTGATAATCGGTTGGCTAATATAAATCTTTAGGGTTAGTTAAGATAACAGGAAGTCCATGTAATAGCGAGAGACCCATCCTCACCCCAGGCGATCTTCCCAAGTCACACATCAGATCCAGCCCAGGATTTGCAATACACTCAGTGCTTCCCACGTAGGCACAGTCGCCACAACAACGGCAATGAACCCTGATAGTGAGGGAACAAAGTGCATCAATTTTGCACCCGGTAAAATTTTATGAAAAAAAAAAGTTTTTACACAGTTGCTGAGCACAAACCTAAAACTGAAGCGGCCCGCAACAATCAGTAGCACCTGTGCAAACAGCAATTTTAACAAAACAAAGATGGGGCAGCCAATGGCACCTCCTGCTGGAGGGAAGCCAACCCCTCTGGCAGTAGCTCGGCCCAGCTGTGGTCACGAGACAAGCCGTCTGGACCTGACCGCAACAGGCACTCACTTCATCATTAGACCTCCTTTGCCAGAACCAAAATGTAATAATAGGGTTTTTCCCCTTTTTTCTGGCAACTAAACTGAAACCTTTTTACAAGGATTCATGTCTGCATTAACCACAATACCTGCAGTCAAAATGCAAACAAAAAAACATACTATGATAATATATTGGCATTGTCCTTGAAACATGATTGGTCCACACCAAGGGACGGCTTTCTTTTGAGCCTCGACCCAATTGGTGCTCGACCAGATGACGGCAAAAGGCGTACAGCTCAAAGACAATGCACTATCAAAGTAATGAGGGCTCGGGGTGAGCATCTACATCACTAGACCTCCTTTGCCAGAACCAAAATGTAATAATAGGGGTTTTCCCCTTTTTTGGCAACAAAACTGAAACCTTTTTACAAGGATTAATGTCTGCATTAACCACAATACCTGCAGTCAAAATGCATTGTCTTTGAGCTGTACGCCTTTTGGCGTCATCTGGTCGAGCACCAATTGGGTCGAGGTTCAAAAGAAAGTCGTCCCTTGGTGTGGACCAATCAGTTTCAAGGACAATGCATATATTATCATAGTATGTTTTTTTGTTTGCATTTTGACTGCAGGTATTGTGGTTAATGCAGACATGAATCCTTGTAAAAAGGTTTCAGTTTTGTTACCAGAAAAAAGGGGAAAAACCCTATTATTACATTATAGGCACTCACTTTACAAACGAAGGTCCTTGTTTCCGATTAGCTTCGGGGTTAATAGGTCAATCTACACGTGACGTGAATCGAAAAACATTTCAACAAACCATCCCTTTTTTTAGTGTACATTATTCATCTTAGCCGTGATCAATCCACTGCTGGATGGATGGAGGCCTCCCCAATTTGTCACAATCTCTCACGGTTTTGCGATGTAATAATCCCCCTCATGCCTGCATAAGAGCCAATTTCAGCACTCCATAATGTATTGCCTCTCCATATTTTGTAATGCGCAGCTCCAATGGGGAGAGTTCAAGAGAGGGCTTGCGGGGTATGGCGTCAGGGGAGGAGGACCGAAGCGATGTCGTAAACGCAATGAAAACGACGGAACCAACGAAGCCACCGGCCTCCCCAATGCCGTGAGAAAAAAAACAAAACATCGCCAATAATTTATTCACTCGGGATCGCGGCGGGACCAGGAATGCAAACCAACGTTCCGGAAATCCATAACCCAATCGATGCTCCGCGCTTGTCCAAAGCGCTCCCCAATGTCCCCGCATCGGCGATGTTGATATTTGTTTGCCCGAGCAATTAAATTATTAAAATGACGGCGATGACGCGAGGATCGACCGCCCGGGGTAGAATCACACTATCAAGGAGGTTAGCAACAACATTTTATGGCGATGAGGAAGTGAGGTTCAGGGGCGGTGTTGCCAACTCAGCGATTTCGTCGCGAAATCAAACTACTTTTTGGGTTTCCTTGGCGGAAATATTTTGTCACGACTTTCTGGGACACAGACACGGTGCAGATTGAGGAACAATTTCTGCATTGTGTTTTAAGGGTCCTGGATCGTGTTGCCGTGTATAGCACTTGGTAAAATGCCAAATTACATTTTTGACAAATTGAAAAGGTTAATCTTGTGGCAACTAGCGACTCCTTGAGGTCCGCTTGGCGACTTTCCACTTGAAGGAGGTGGCAACACTGCACAGGGGAGAGTGTGGATACACGATGTGGCAATGGGAAGGCCGGAAGGGCAGACAGACGCAATCACCTCGAGCTGCTGCAGCAGCGACTTGCCCCTCTTGTTGATTTCGTTGACGAGCGTGAAGACGGCCACCCGGATGTCGTGCTCCACTTTCTTGTGGGCCTCCACGACCTCATTCAGCCTGACACGGAGCACACAGGCAAACACGGGCAAACACGACATTCCGTTGTCTCGTAGGGCGGCAGGCTGGTGGAAAGGTAGTAACACTCATGCCTCTGGCAGCAAGAAGCACCTGGGTTGGCTGTCTGTGTCGAGTTTGTATGTTCTCCCCAGGTTCTGTATGGGGTTTCTCCTGGTTTCCTAGTTTCCTCCCATACTCACTTGGGGTTATACGTAGCAATGTTGCCCCCTACTGTGAAAAACATTTGGCAGGACCCTCCTCAAATAGTGTCTTGAGACTCAGTGAGGAAATATAATGAAGTAAATGAAAATTCATGGGTGGGTTAATGTGAAACCCTGAAGCCCACCGGGCCCCAAGGCTGCTGGGCGAGATCAACAGTTAACTCCCAATAATCCGTGGGTAGGTTATTAACAGTGTTCGCAAATTAATAATATATTTAGGAGCGTGCTGGTTTAATTATTCGTCACTCTAACTCGTCGAGGGTCAGTGACTCCATCTACATGTGACCAGAAACGGATAGGCAAGGAAACCGATTCGTAAAAAATATGAAAATAACAGACGATACATTCCGAAAGAACTACCAGAGCCATGCTTAAGACTGACCAAGGCTTTCTTGAATTAATTAATAAAGACAATTCGTAACACGGGGAGAGATGGCACAGTGGTTGGCGCACTGCACGATGGACACAGCGACCAGAGTTTGATTCCCGACCGCTGTTAATATCGCCGGTGGGCGAAGAGGGGCGAACACTCAAGCAAGCGCACGCACCAGCTTGAAAGAGTATTTTGACCCCAAAGAAATTGGACCCCGGATTCCGAATACTGTATATTATTTGAACCCCGGGGTACAAATACTGGTTCAGCAATGACTCCTTCTCTGGAAAAATTAGCCCCCCACCCCAGCCCACCCCCTCCTACCCCCCTGCGGTGAGAGAACACTGTCGGGTTAGGGTCAACGGCTCTATCCAGGATCCGTGCAATTTTGTTCAGAAATGGCTTGTGGCTGTATTTGGACGAATGCCCAAATAACCCAATTCGGCTGGTGGTGGGGGGGAGGTTAAACTACCACCACACACGGGGGGGGGGGGGGTGGGGGTCAAAAACTAGAGAGGATTTTGACCCCAGTGGGATGAGCGCATCGTCTCACGCCGGCGCATCATCGCCGCTTGTGCCTCTCACCTGTTCTGCACCTGCATGGCGGCAAAATGCACGTAGTTCTTCTTCTCCTGCAGCTTGGCCGTAAGCGTCTCGATAATCACCACCTGCTGCTGCGAAGCCTCCTCCACAAATTGGTACCTGCACGTGACAAAAACGAAGCTGCCCATCGTCCTGGTGGTGCGGCCGGCATTCCGCCACACACCACTCCCCGCCTGCCATTCCCACCTCAACGGGGGCTCGCTAACAGTAACTCCCCCTCCAGCGGTCTATTCTATAGAGCCAGGGTGGGGAACTTCTTCCTCAGGACCAGACAGGACCTTTGACGGGGACCACAGTTTAACTGCGCCTCAAAGTGTCTTCTGTCAATGCAAAAGGCCTTGAGTGTTTTTCCTAGGCCAGGCACATCCCCCTCTAGTACCCGATTAGTGCAGTTAAGATGCTGACCGTACGGATATCGTTTGCGAGCCATTTCCAAGTGGTCGCCCGTAAAAATGGCCCACGGGGCCGGGGGCTCCCCACTTCTGTTGTCTACACGCGGGATCTTTTGCCTGTTGTGTATTTTATTGGTGCTAGACCGCAGGCCTCCCAGGAGGATGAATCTACGTGCAGGAGGGTAAGGAGGAAGATTACGAGTCGGCGCATTAAGATTAGGAGCGGGAGGATTATCGGGAGTGGGATGAAGATAAGGTTTGACGATCCGGCGCTGCAGGAGGATTATGATCAGCAGCAGTTGGAGGAAATCTCTTGTGGCGCACCTGTGTTCCTTGTGTCCCAGCAGCTGACAGTCCCGGCAGGTGAGGCGGTCGCAGGTCTCGCAGAAGAGCTTCAGCGGCTCCCGGCGATGGACGGGGCAGTAGACGGGCCGCAGCGTGGCCATGCCCGCCGCATCTGCAGGCCAGCCGGGCAGGGAGACACGCGCCCGCCAGTCAACGCGCGGGCGAGGCCCCCACCCTCCCACCCTGTCGTCCGCCCATTCCCCCCCACCTCTAGCCCGTGGAACCGGTGCTATTTAGACGGCAGTTGGCTCAGGAGGCATGCAGGATTAACACGGAGGGCATAAGACGAGTTGGTAGGTAAGCCTGCTTCTGCATGGGGTCACTACTTGTGCTGATCTGCTGGCCGGGACGTTGATCCTTGCTATGCTCTTACTCATCGAAAACAATATATACAAAATAGGCCATTCAACGTTTTCGCAGTTGTATCTTCATCATCATAACCATCATCAGCTGTGATTAATCCACTGCTGGATGAAGACCTCCACCTCTCACCGTCTTGGTACCTGCACATGAGCTCATTGTCTCACTTTCCCTTCACGTGATACGGGAATACACATACAAGCAACACTCACGGCCCGTTCAAATGCACCCCTAAAAAGATTGCACCCAACCAAATTTTGACAATATTTTGATTGTAACGTATTCTAATCTTCAAAATATTTCCTCATCTATGAGTGGTATACAGTTGGTTTTCCTAAGCTCTGCGGGCGCAAGTTTATACGTGCACGATGGTGACGTGATTCATGAACAGGATGAATAATAACAATCCATCGAATAGCGAGGTGGGTGATAGAGCAATTCACATCTGGTCTCGTGATAAAAATATACGCAAGGGGTATTAAATATTGATGCAAATTAGAGTACGCACAGATTTTGTACCAAATGGGTTGAGCGTAATGGGTCACGGATCACAGATTTGGGTTGTCGTGGAATCCTGGACACTCACCGTCCTGAGCGTCGTCCTTGCGCCGGATGGCGTGGTCCTTGGTGAACTTGACGCGCTGGTGGGCCTCGATGCACGTGCGGCACAGCCACTCGAGGCACTCCACGCAGAACCCCTCGGCGTCCGCACCGTCGTCACAGCTTGTGCACGGCTGCCCCGTAAATGGCCAAGAGTGGGTCGGAGGTCAGGGGTCAGGGAAGAGCACGGCGTGGCGAAGGACAGGATAAGAAATTGCATGGCATCGATGTCAACTTATTCACACGAGCGCCTCCGCCATCTATCATGCAGTCAATACATCGATTCCTTTGCTTCGTCGGTGCAAAACGCTTGAATAGCACAAGTATTGAGCCAAGCAAACCAGCGTGACCACACCAGGAAGAGGTTGAATTGAGTTCCGTGACCATCATAGAGAAGTGAGGTCGAACAACCCCCATGACCGAAAGGTGTGATACGACCTTCACCCAGCAGTGGCTTACAAAAGGGCAGTAATTTTTTTTTATTTTCTTTTACATTCTGTATAAGGCTGAAATTATTCAACGTGCATACCCAGGATAGCCTCATGACTTTTCAGGAGGGTCCTGTTAAGTTTTTGCAGTCAGGGGTCATGAATGTTATGAATATTCTAATTGAGTAATGAAATTGTGAACTTGAGAACATAGATCCAATTGCGGGCCCACAGGCTCAGTGCGTGTCTACGAGATGAAAGTCAACTTGTCGGCACTCTCGAGCCTGCGTATTTCTTCACTTTGTGGAGCGGCGGTGCAGTGCTCGGTGGAGAGCACCTGCGGACGTAAACCTGACGGGCGGTCCAAACAATGTACTCACAAAGATGTCAATGTAAGTTTCATTGATTTGGAGGACTGCTGCGTCTTGAAGAATGAAGCTTTAAGTGTGATTCAAAGCCTGCTTTTCATAGCACGGTCTCCAAAACCTGACAGCCTTTGTGCGCGTGTGTGCCCACGGCGGCGACTGCGATGACACGCGGAGACAGACTCTCGCTTCAAAGGCCAATCAGAGGAGGGTTGCGCTACGCGGCGCAAAGAAGAGATGGCTCCCTTAGTCTCGAGTTGGACCGCGTTCGCTAACATCAGAGGTTTTCAATTGTGCGAGCGACAATCGTTCGGCCCGCCCACCTACCCGCGGTTTGGGCTGCGCACACGCGGGGGCACAGCGCACGCCCGGCGACTTTCACTCGCGCGGGGATCAAGAGCCACCTCGGGCGGCGGTTTCTAAAAGACAATGCGCCAATCAGCGAGGGCAACGTACCTTCTACTCTGCACCCAGGTCACTCACGTGACGTGGGTTTCGGAACATTTTCCCCAGCGACTGGAGCGCCCCCGATCGGTCCCCGCCCACCCCCACTGTGGTACATTCAGTCGCTTTGGTAACCAATTCATTTTAAGCTAAATAATAATTTGGTATGTAATGCCTCACCGTTGCTCCCAGGTTATTTGATGAACTGTCACGATTCAAGGTCGTGATTTAATTAATGAATCAACTTGTTTTCTTGCCTGTTTGTCCACGCCATGAGCATCATGCATGTCCCGTAGGTTCTGAATTTTACATTCCGTCTAGTTTTGTCTGCCTTCTTTGTTCTATTAGCCAAGCGTTGTTTCATGAGGTGCCCCTGCACATGTTTTAGTGGCCTATCGAGAGACATGCCTGGCAGAGACGCAAAGATGCATTTGAACGAGGTGAACGAGAAATGACCGACAGAAGCAGATGAGAGAGTTTAGCGAGATGTAACAACAGAGATATATTATTGGTTCTTTCGGTAAAGTCACGTAGAAGGGAAACAATAAAATAATAAAAATATAAAACAATAAAATTCTCACGACGTTTAGACTGCAACACAAGCAATCATCATCATGTATATAAATATGCATCACTGCACACAAATGATTGCTTGTGTTGCAGTCGAAACGATGTCAAGCCGTCACACGACACATGACAATGTCAAGCCGTCACACGTGACACGACGCTGTCAAGCTGTCACAAGAGACACCACGCCGCGTGCCCCACCGGTGCACAATAAGTTTGTTGTGGCCCGCCGGAAACTCTACGTGCAGAAGCCTGCATTAGGCTCGAGGCACACAAGTAAATCCTTTACATAAATCACAAAAAAAAATTCTCCAACATACAATGCTATGCAAGTATCATGAGAGCGAATTTAAATTAATGAATTTTGAAATACCAATTTGGTTTTTTAGGTAAAGCCATGTAGGTAAAAAATAAATAAATAATACGCCACGCCTAAAAAAGACTACGAACCATTAACTTTGACTTAGATAATAACAAACACAAATCATGTTCATAGCTACATTGACCGTAACAAAAATTTGTGTGCAGTGATGCATATTTTATTAGTTTTTTATATACTTATTATCCAGCAAAGCCTGAGTCTCAAGTCTTTTTAAGGAGGGTGCTGCTAAGTTTTCACACTCGGGGGCGATGTTGTTGCTGCGTGTATTCATAATTGAGTAATTTGCAGATAATTTTTCAGCACTGGAATGGTTTGACGAATTCCAGTTACATTGCCATGTGTTTATTGAGCTACGAGAGGAAACCTGAAATTCACGGAGGAAACCCATGCAGACAACAGGGGGAGAATGTACAAACTCCACACACTCATTCACACTCTGCAGAAGAGGGGAAGAACATACAAACTCCACACACTCATTCACAGTCTGCAGAACAGGGGGAGAACATACAAACTCCACACACTCATTCACAGTCTGCAGAACAGGGGGAGAACATATAAAACTCCAAACAGAAAGGAGTCCGCGTCGGGAATCGAACCCTGGACCTTCAAACCGTAGGGTACGAGTGTTACCAATACGCTACTCTGTGGCCCACGCACAGAAATATCCCAGTGAGGCACGTGGAATAATGGGAAGGCTCATGCGACATGTCAATATATTTATCTCACTTTCATCGGCGCTCGTCTCTCTGTCTTTGTCTGGGCGAGTAATGTTGCTCGGTGGGCCACTCCAACAGGATGTGGCCCCGTGGGCCTCCAGTTGAACAGCCCTCGGCTCACAGAACACATCGTGCTCATTCCGCGCAGAGCCAGCTGCTAAGAGGAGTCAAATTCATTACAATATGAATGCCGGCAAAGCGAGCAGCCCACCCCCCCGCCCCCCTTGTTACCTGCGAGCTGTTCTCTGTGCCCGCCACTCCCTCTGAGCCGTCCGTCACAAAGTAGTTGTCCACGATGTCCTTGGGCTGGCATCCTTGGTGGCAGATTGGGCAGCGCACGATGGCTGCGCGCGCACGCAAAGGAAGTCCACACACACCACACGCATCGAATGTCAAGACGGCAAGCGGGGCGCAAACAAACCGCCGTGTCGACTCCTGCAGTTCCGATACACCTGCTTCACCCATCTAGAAATCCAATGATTCGTACATTTGGTGTTCGTGCAATTCTCACAGCGCACGGTTATCACTAAGGACGCCGCCGTTCTACAAGCCTGAAGTAGTTAACGCGGTAGGGGCCGATTGTTGCTATGTCGTTTTACGCGACTTTCACATTTTTCACAAATTTGGAGCATGACGCCAGCACATGTGGCCTACCCTTTTCCGAAAGATCATCACCGGATTTTTGATGGCCACCGCGAAGCAGACGGACCGCACTGTTCACGGCTAATAAACCTGCAGTATTCATTAATAATTCTCATAATGAGTATTAACCAGGGCGGCCGCTGGGCCATAAACACGAACTGCACAACCTCTGCGAACGAGCGGGAAAACATGGGACCGCTCCGCCAAGTCACCGCTCCACCGCAGCATCTCCGACAAAGTCTGACACACACCGTCGCCGAGGCTCGCACGGGCGTACGAACTCGCCGCGCACCATGCAATGGGCCCACTCCAAACCGTGGGGCCCACCGCTCAGACTCCCCACTTCCTGGCCGCCAAGCGACACGATGTAGATGTTGGTCGAACTGTGATCAAACGTGGCCGGGAGGGGGTTTCGAATGCCCACGGGGTTAATGCTGAACGCAACAGACCCTGCGCTGTTCAGAGAAATTGAGGTGCACCCCCCCCCCACCACCACACTGGCTGGGATGAAGCATATTGCAAGTCAGCAGCAGGTGATGTGCACCTGCACGCAGAAGCAGCAGCATTGCGAGCGGACGCGTCGTTTCACATCCAACTGCGCTTTCACGCTCCGTCAAATGAAGACCCTTGCAAATACGCACATAAAAAAAACATGGCGCAGATAAACCCTGCGCACCCTGGCAACCGGGATGTTCCATATCAAGGGATTTTCCAAGTAAACGTCTTTAATAAAATAAAAACCTGATCCTTTCGACGGCAGTAAAGATCCAAACATTGAACTTCACCAGAAAGAAAAAAACACTAATACAAAAAAATGCAACAAAATAAAACCGGAATAGGTCACGTAGCAGACTGCCATTGCGTGGTTTGAACCAATATCTACCCTAAATAACTTTGGTCACAAATTAGCACAAACATTTGTTAATATGTACACGTGACCGTCGAACTTTACGTGAACCGACTATGACCCACGTCGTGATGGAGGGGTAGAGGGGGTCCTCTGTTTCCCCCTGCCGTGGCCTGCCTGCCAATTCCACTGGTGGCAATCATGCGTCGTCATTTGACTCGCCACCTCTCGCTGATAAAGGGCACTGTCAGATTCCCAAAACTCGTTTGATTCAGCATCCTCAGCAGCAGCAGCAATATCAACATTGTCATCATTGTCATTTTCGTCAACATTTGTGGCATTATAATCATCAGCTACAGCGATAATCGTAAAATCGTTACTAGACCAGTGCTCATGAGAAGCATCATGAAGGCTATATACCAAGTGGTGGAACGAGCTTCATTACAACTTTACAAACTAAAAGAATGAAAAATACAGGGGTGATCTATTTATAGATACCCCACACATCTTAAGACACTTATTACATATTTAACTCTCTGCTCTGTAAGATGCAGAGCCATCGCTTGAAAATGATTCAATCGGCTGTGGAGAAGAGAACAAAAGGGGCATTATAAATGAGTGAGGCACCAATAAATTTTTCACCCTTGAATTGAAATCATTGACCGCTCAAAACACACCACCAAAGTTACTGCAACGCACTCGAGGAGCTGTAACAAGGGAACATCATCTCTAAATGTAAGTGATTTTAAAATACGACAAACAATTGCTGCCCGCTATTCAAAGTGCCAACGGGATTATGTCTATGACATCACAGTGATAAGAATGTGCCACTGTGTATGTGTCATTAACATGTGCAAAGTAATTCATAACGGGACCCGCAAGTGTCGGGGATTATTATCAAAGCAATGCGCCATCAGCCCGAAGACTGCCAGCTGTGGCACAAATTAGAGAAATCACCACAATTACAGCTCAATATTTCACACGATGTAAATTTTAACATGAGGCTTCAGACACGTGACTAAGATGTAAGTTCCTCTCCTATCTTTGCACGCAGTATATTTGTTTATTGTTGTCGTATTCAAAGATTGCATCAGCAGTGACATCACAGGGTGCATGGAGTTGACTTATGTCACTTAGAGCCTCACTATTCACACTTCTGTCTACGAGAGACCCGAGACCCAGCTTTCTGCTCAGAAACCGCGATATTTAAAAACGAATTACAAGATGGTTCTGTCACTGTGAAAGCTGTCTGCAATTTATGGCGATTTTAAGCCGGTCTTTAAGCAGCAAGAAGATCTGCAACGACACTCTGACCGGATCCCCTCCTACCAACAACCATGGTTTGATCACGGTGAAAGAGCTGCATAGCTCATCGACTTTCTCCAGGGTAAAAAAAGATTATTGATCCTGACGATTCCATCGGGCAGCCCAACCACAGTCGTGACGGCGTACATGGCCCCGCTTTGCCCAATACGCACGGCGCCCCATCCTGGCACGACAAACAGTGGGGCGACGGCGTCGCACCACCCTCGCGTGCCGATGAGAGTGCGCACCTGGGCGGTCGAGCCAGTGGTGATGGCCTGGCAGAAGATGGCCGCAATCAAGTTCTCACTGTCGAAAGGCGCCTCCTTCAAAGACCTCTGCTCACTAATCTCCGTCATATGCAGTCTGTGGTTAAGGATACTTGAGAAGGCAAGTAAGTGCCCTGTCAATGCAATGACATGCCAGGATCTGAACCTTCAGAAAAACGCAGCGTTATCAGGTTTAAGAGCATGAACTGTGATAATAGGTGCAGCTCTGAAATGTTTCTGTTCATGCCACTGCTGATGAAAGCACCCTCCCTAGATGGTATTTTGGCCTACTCTTCTACACTGACCAGACGTCTTGGAAGAGCTCCGAGTACCCACACTTTACGCCAGCACACGTGGTCTTCCGATTGACAGTGGCCGTGCCGGCGGTTAAATTGCAACACTTCACCATACCTACTGGTATACCACGACAGCATCCTACAAATTACATTAATTTTTGCACTTTTTGTATCTTTTGCATAAATGAGTGAGGTTGACATGTTTAGGCATGGATAGAGTGTCTGAGATAAGTGATGCAGCGGTAAAAGACTGCAAAGAGAAAATTAGCGATTAGCGATCAGCGGAGAGGCCAGGAAAAACCTGTAGCAATGCCGGACGAGGTGCAGCCAAGGGAAGACTAAACTGTAAAACTGTTTTATACTAAACAGTTTTTATTTTACCAGGTAAGGCTCACTCAGCTAAAAAGCTCTTTTCCAGAAGTGACCTGGCCACAAATGATAGCTCAATTTAGTGGCTTATCATGTGGAAATTTATTGCAGCCAAATACTCTAAATGAATGTTTCTAAATGTGGACGGAAAAATTGGATAAAATCAACGCGACTACGGGGAGAAAGTGCAAACTCCAAATATATAACCGTCAGCGTCGGCATCGAATCCACGACCTCCTGTATACCAGGCGAGGTAATTAACATCTCGCCACTGCGGCGCCGTGGAGGGACGGGGCCACCACCCACACACACACTAGCATGGAACCACGGGGCAAAGCCACCAGGCACGGGTCACCGACGTCCGTCTCCAGACCGGTAAGCATGGCCCAGAGCCTTCGTTTTTCACTAATTTTTCTTTAATTTAAATATTTCATGTGATTTGACGTCACAAGCGTTTGTGCATCTTTATTAAAGGCAGTTTATGTTAAGGACAAGAAAGTTGACACCTAGCACTGACCTTTAGACTATTCACGCACATTTGTTTTGCGCACCACCACACGTCATCGCAGTACGACGAGGACAACATGAGGCGAGGTGCATATGGTGTGCCAACATCATTCTCCGGAGCGGTGTCCCGCAATATTCCGCCTGAATTTAATTCAATTCTAACCATATCGTAGTCAGATGCACAGTGTCACCCCAAACTCTGACTTCCACAAATTCAAATCGCCGAGGCAGCACCCTTGACTGGAACCCCTACTCCCTGTGTTGTCTAGTGCCGCTACCCAGGGTGAAACCTCCTCCACACAAGCGACCCAGGCCAGCGACAGCGGACCATGGACAGCGACCTCCACTTCCAACTAACCGCTGCCTGGCATGCCCTGGTCGCTCCATTCCGTCAGCAGTGGCGTGAGCAAGATATTGCAGGGGCTGCACCTTTACCTACTTCGATACATTGAAATTGTTGCGTTTGTTGTGTCGGAAAGCCAGAATAAAGCGGAGGACTCCCTTGATGCGCTGGCTCTCTCGCTTGTTATTGTTCGTAACGAACGACAATACGTGTAACGACTCGCTCCACTGACAGACGTTAACATGTCCCCATCATTGTCGGTGGTGATCGACCATCAATCGTGGTCTTAAAAAATGAAAATAGATAAAGCAGGCAACACATCTCCTTCATATCTGTCTCTCCACTTGAAAAAGTATTATTTTCACAACACATTTGCCACATAGCCTTCTGAGACTGCATAATTTCAGCAGCATTGATTCAGCACAACAAACACTTTGGACCGGTTCGACACTCAGCGTGCCATCATCAGTCAGATTAGTTTGAATCGATGCTGGTGATCTGCCAGATGTTATAGCCAAGGACCAACTCTTCAAGATATGGGTCAGAGTGAGGATACAAAATTATATAATACAAAACACAAAATAATCCTTAACGTTAAGGATTAGATCACATTATCAATGCACATTTTCCTAACATCGGTTCTTGCAAAACTCCAATACTGATCCTCAACCCTCACGTTCAACTGGTGGCCTCGGGGCCAAAACGCTCTTGCAGCGGCCCTGTGACCTACGACCCCCAAGACACAGATAAATAACAGATTAGAAGCAAG